TGCCGCTGCAGAATCCCCACCAGCCCATCATTACATTGTTCTGAACCGATCATTCCCAGCGGTGCCGTTTGCCCACACATTCACATCCCAAACAAAGGGAATGTTTCACATTTCTCTCACATTAAACTACACAGCCTCGAGATAGCCAAACATCCATTAGTCATAGACTGAGACTCAATCAGCTCTGCATAATAACGTGATCAGCTACAGCAACAGTCAGGAATGTGGGTGTTATCATTAAAAGAGCATTTCACTCTGATGACTGAGGCTGTGATTAACAGCTCCACAGGGTGTGTTTACTCCTTTTCCGCTACTGCTTACATTTTTGAAATCCAGAAATAGCCTCATGTGTTTGAATCATTGCACTTCTTTCACATTTCTGGAGCCCCCTCCACAGAGCAGTTCACGACCTCGAGAATAAGGAAAATTAAAATAGATTTCCCTATAATTTTTCTGTTCATTTAAAAAAAAAAAAGGCCAAAATAACACATTCATGGTTCCGAACAAACTGTTTGTGGGACAAATAGGTGAAATAAATTGACCATATTTAACACATGATAAATTACAGACAAAGAACAGGGTAGGATAAATACAAATCAAAGTCATTGGAGATGTCTTATATTCACAGTTTCATTTTCAATCTAAAACTACAGTACACTAGTCATATGAAGGTAGAGATGAAAAACAGAGCACCTAAAATATCTGAAGAGAAGAAAAAAATTAATTAAAATTCTGTTAAAGCTACTATGGCTTTTTTTCTGCTCATGAAAGAGTCCAAAATTAAAACTTTCTGACCCTCACAAGCAAATAAATCCACCAATTTAGGGATTGACTATTTCTATGTTGTTATTTTTAATGTCTGAAACCCCTGTTAGGGGTAGGTGTCAGTCGCATTAGTTTGCTCTCTGACAATTCCTCACAGGAGCTTTAAGTTTCCTTTTTTTTATTTCTATGATAGCAACTGTATTTTAGATGTACATTTAAAAGCAAAGGTTTCATACATTAAAAAGAAAAGAAAAAACTTGCAGGTAAAAACAGATACATCAACAACCAGAAAAAGTAGAACCAAACAAATATATAGATATAAAAAGCACACCAGCTAAGTGGATGTCTTCAGGAAAAATACAGATTTCAGTGATGATTTAAAGAAGACATATTCAACAAACCCAAGTTTAAAAAATTGGGCTCCAAATAGCTGAGGCCTGATCACCTTCAGTCGCAAGATCACATTCAGGAACATAAAGAGGTTCTTAAAAAGCAATCAGGAACATAAAAGGTCACAAACATGTGGTGGTGCCTCATCATGTAGGACTACAATTTTAAAACCAGAAATACTAACTAGACAGTGAAGGTCAGCAAGACCAACAAAGCACTTTGTATGAGCTGTAGCGTGTGGATGTTTGTCAGAGTAAAGCATGTCAATAATAAACAGGAAAAGGTCGACCTTCTCTAAATCTGAAGGAGAAGGAAGAATCCAGCCCTGGAGATCAACTGAAACTGAAATGTTAAAGAACAGAGATAGGAACATGTTGCCATGGAAGCATTCCCAACTATGGAATCAGACTGGGCACTTCATTGTCCCATAGATAAATCACTTTTTAATCCAGGTTATATTTACACGAGGGTTTGGTGTAAACTTGTATGTATCTTTAGTTGGTAGCAGGTGATAAGAGAGACAATGTAAAGTGGTTGTTATGTAGATTAGACTCCCCCAGGGTGAAGCAGATGAGTCTAGTCTCACCTTGTCTGAATTATAATTTGCATAACCCCTCATCCACCATCATTATGTTCTTTGAGTTAATTAAGTATCGTCCTGTTGTGTCAGCTTAAAATATTGTTGATTTAAGTTATATTTGTCTTGTTTCAGTTTCATACTATTTTTTAGAGTGCAGTCAGATTGAAGTCAGGGGAGAGGGTGAAGTAAATGTTGCTGTTTTCCTTCCTGCATGCCTCAGCTGCATCTCCAAATATTTAAAACTGTAAAAGGCAGCTGCATGTGAAGGGAGAGAAAGAGAGGAGGAGAAAATGAAAAGGAGTAAGAGGAGAGGACAGAAATAGTGGAGGGTGTGTAGCCGCCTCTGACCACTGGCATGCATGAGGAAGCAGCCTCCATTCCACAGGCCAGCCGACGGTTTAGAGACACTACAGCTCACAGCCCACATGCAAGGCCCGCCTGGCCTTCCCCACCCTCGGCTATTCTGAGCCTCTCTGCCACTGTGGTGGCTTTCACTCAGCAACCACACCAACACAGGGAGAGAGGGAGAGAGACAGGAGAAACTAGCCCTGGGCCAGGAGGAGAGGAGAAGCATTGTTTACTGTTTGTCTTGTTTTTTTTTTAATCTTCTCTCACCATCAGATGTTTTTCCAGCTGATTTACAGAGCTGTGGCATCGCCCATAACAAGCACATCCTGCTGAGGCTCACTGTACGTCAACCACGGCACTTGTGTTTAGAGACTAAATCTGGTTTACGATTGCCTGGGTCACATTTTTGTTAACAATCCATTATACCACAGTCAACGTAACATTAGAAGAGAAGGTGAAAAAGTGAAAGTAAAAGTTCAAAAAGACATAAAAAACACAAGAAGTCAAAATAACACGTAGAAAGTTCAGACAGATTATCAGACCTTCTTTAAAAAATGATGAAAACAACAAAGATTCATCATTAATTTGGTTAAGTTCATATATGGAGAGACCATCTTTTACATTAATGTCCAAACAACAATGCAACCGATATATATATCAGTATAAAATAAAAGACAAAGGTATTCTGCTGTGTCGCTGTATTTTACATACATGATGGTGCTCAACGAAGCAAGTGTCATGTGCATAGCATGCTGGGAAAAAAAGCTGAATTTTTAAATGCTTTTCCCTTTCCTCAGATTACAATCATGCATTTGAAGAAAACAATGATGAACTATGAAACATAAACTTTGTGAAGTACTAGTTCACCGATTCAAGACAACAAATGACAAACTGGATGGTTGTGTCAATAAAAATGCAAGGTCCTACACATCTACATCTAAACTGTACATTGCTGAACTTGAAGAACATTTCCACAGGCAGACAGTTTAAACCCTGATGATGAATGAGCAATCGTATCCAGTCAGGTTTTTAGACCAAGCCTCAGAACTACTCTGAGAACTGTTTAAGAAGTATCTATCCAGTTTAGTTATCCTCAGTGGTCTCCTCCTCTTGTAAAAAGAAATACAGGAGACCTAATCATTGAAAACCCAGAAAAATGACACTTGATGAATCACTTTCATGTCAACATTGAGTGTTTCTCCAACGCCCTAGTCATGGATCCACCCAACACTCAGGGTGGGCTGTGATCTAGCAAAGCTGAGAGTTTCTTTTAGGAATTTTTATCTACTTATAAGACGGACTGGTGTCTTTTTAAGACCCACAAAAGCAAACAAGGCCATCAGGTAGAAGATTGATTATGCAGTTTTTATGTAACCTTTGCCACCAAGTGAGTGCCTTACCAAGTGAGTAACAGCATGCCAAGCTAAGCCTAATTTCTAGCAGTCAAATAAGAATCACCTGAATCTACTTCTAGGTCAGGGACAGTCTGGTGCACACTCAGAGTGAGAGCAGGAGGTCAGAGTTGAAGCAGATGGTCAGCAGTTAAACGGTGATGGATGTTAACAATGACAGCTCGGATGATAAACTTTCCATCTGCTTGTTTTTCCTGCACCTGATGGTTTGTTTAAAGCCTGTCCCATCTGCTCAGTAACTCTATATTTTCACACTGTGGGATATTTTTTGAGTCAAGTCACCACATTCCCACATTTTTTCATCCATCTCACTGAAAAATGTTTTTACAACTGAAAGAAATGACGGACAAACCTCTGTGAAAACACAAGCTAAAGTGTTTTAATCCAGAGCGATTCCATGAAGAAGCACGGCACACATTGAATCCATATTATGTAAGAATTTTTAGTGAAACCACAGAGAAGATATTGAACTTTCAGCTATGTTAAACTTTGAGCTCTAAAGTGACTGGAATTCTGGTATTTGGAACGATTGAGGAAATCCTGTTATTCTTAGCTGAGTAGAGTTATCAGAAATGACGTTGAGGTGACTTACAACTGGCCTCATGCTGATCAAGCTTTCATTGGTCTAACTGTGATCCTAGTTCAATAAAGGGTTAAATCCAAACATATATTGATACGAAGATTACTGAAGAAGGCTGTATGATCATGCTCATGTCGTTTGTGATCCTTCTTACCATGTAAGAGCAGGAGCAGGTAAGAGCTTTCAGCTTTTCGTTGATTTAGATCATTGGGCTCTGCTCTTTCAATGCCCTCATGTGAAAACATTTTGGTGACCATCATAACAGATGAGATTATCATGTGACATGTGAAACCACCACCACCCAAGACATGTAAAATATTGCAATTAGGGCTGTCATAATTTCATAGGGTAACCATATTCTGAATTCCGACTATGCAGGAATGGAATCACGGAGTCACACAAAGTTAATTTTGAGAGTTTTTTTTAGGTTGGATCTAGTGTCTTTTATGGGCTTCTAACTCAGTAAGTCAATGTGACACAAACTTGAAACTTCTGTACAAAAGCCACGGACATTTGAAGGATTTTATAAACTTCCCTGGACAAAGCCAGACAAGGCCGGACAGCCTAGACAGCCCCCCCAAAAAAGAGTACGTATGGTCACCCTATAATATCAGATATCCACCAAACCACTACATCATCAAGGTATTTTTGGCACACCATAACTCTCACATTAGTTCCCATACTGTGCACTGCATTTTGAGCAACTCAGTACACACTACCAGTATAGTAGGTGGGTTCAAATACAGCCATTTCCACATAAAATGATTGTTTGCTATACATATATTTTGATATTTCTTCTGTTTTGCATTTAGGTTGCATTATTTCTTACTGTGCTTTTATTTTGAAGGTCTGCTACTTCCAGTGGATCATAAGTTACAGAATTTAAGAAGACAAAAGAACAGTAAGACAATATAACTGTTTGATTAACTATTAACCAGATACTCTGATGTTGCATTTGGATTTAAAAATCCTGGAATTTCCGTTTGGTGCCAAGTCACCTCTTCAAGAGAGACTTAGCTAGTTCATGGGCTGTCTGCTGTTTCCTCTTCTTCCTCTCTCCTCTGAGTAACACCATGTGGCAGCCAGTGTAAAGGACCTCAGCTATGAACTTACGGTACTATTGTATGCTTATTTTTAGCATGTCATCAATATTTAATATTCTCACAAAGACAGTAATTGTCAATACTCATATTTTGCAATGGCCTTATTAACACCTAAGAGTGCATCTGACACGGGTGGTCTTTGATTTTGACAGAAAATTATCATTATAAAGGTATTATTACCTTTATCATTAACTCTCATTAAGTTCCTTGTGCGTGTTACTGTGGTTTCCTTTTCTTTCCTTTTTTTATTATTACAATTTTTTCTGTCCCCATTTCTTTTTAGTAAAGTTTGTTTGATAATTTCACACAATGACTGATAAAAGTGTGACATTTTCAGGGTCCATCCTGATATTGTGTTAAAATACGTGATGTTTAAAAAAAATCTAAATCTCAAGTCCATCTATGAGAGGTGTTTTTTTCTTTTTTTTCATGTACTTTTCTATACAGCTGTGATAGAAAACTCAACAGGATAATGATTTGATATGTTAATGGGACTGTCATGTTTTTCTCCAGAGGTCTTGACTATCTGTGGTTTTCTCCCCCGTCCCTGTGTGCTTCACTGGCCTCAGACAATACAACGCTGTGCTTTTGGTGCAGATCATTGTGCCACAGACAATAAACCATCTTCTCAACCTCCTCTTGAACTCTAATCCTGAACGGCACCTGCCTCTCCCATCAGGATGGAAAAGATATTTTACAACTGACTACGAATGTGAATAATGACATCTTCGTGGAAAGGCAGTGACGGTCATATATGCTCTTTGTGTTTTTTTCTCTCTTTTATATTCTGTGCACTCACAGTTCCTCCTCTGAGAAACCATTAAACATTGATCAAAAGAAAAAATGAAGAAAGAGCCAAATAAGTCAGTTTCTCTTTGAAGCTGATGGGGGTCTCATGGGGGTCTGCAGTGTCTCTCAGACTGTGTTTTATTTCATCTTTCTTATTAGGAGGTGGAAGAGCAACGGTTTCAGACAAGACAAAGACTTCAGTGTTATGACTGGACAGCAATGTTTATCTGTCTGCAAAGAGACTGTATAACTTTGTGCAGACATTCATAATTTACATACAAGTTGAATAACACGGTGACAGTAGAGCCAGGCGTATGAAGAAAGCAAAACAGGGTGACATTTTTAGGTTTTATTTTTCCAGTATAAAGTGGAAATACTGAGAATAAAGTCTTAATGTTTGCATGAAGAAAAAAAATTGTAAGAACAAACCACCAGGAGTTGTGACGGCTCAAAGAAAACAAATCAGAGGAGGGGAAAAGACTAATTTAATTATTATTTTATCATTTCCATAGCATTGTTATGTCTATGGTGTTCACTTCTAGTCGAACCTATTTAAAGCTCCTGTCAGGAGTTTTTCACCTCTATGAAATACAATAAAATTTATACTGACGTGTTTTTTTTTTTTTTTCTTATGTCATACAAACACAAACGCCTGGGAGTGGGCAGCTGTATTTCAATTCTGACCTGCAACACGTCCCACAAGCCACTCACCACTCACCACTCTACTTTCCAAAATGTTACAGCTCAAAATTCACCACAATTGTGAAATTTAAAGAAAAAACTTAAAGGTCCAGGTTGGAACTCTCAGGTTTCAAAGAATCTGGCACTCCTTGTGGAAAAAGCAGTGCCAATTATTTCTTCACAAAGTCTGTCCTGTATGTGTAAATCATGTTTTCTTAAAGAAATCTTATCCTCCTTCATTTATCCATTACATGAGTCATTCATAAAAGGTTCTCAGTCAGGAAAATTCAAACAATGTCTGTTTTGGCAGTGTGTACTAAATGATTTCAGCCATCATTAACCTCCTGAAAGAGGTTTCAGACATAATTAATAACCATACAGAAATAGTCGGTCTGTTTAGTGATAGTCTCATTTGTAATTATAGGCATCAGTTTAAATTTCAGTTAGTTCAATAACCAAAAATGAAAACTTCTCACAAGAGCTTTAAGTGTTTTTATGTTAGAGTTTAAAAACAGGTTCTGCTTTGGGGTTAAAAACAGTTTAACACACATTTCTGTTCAGGACAAACAGTGTGGACATAACAGTATTTTCTGTTGTTTGGAAACGTCTGATCATTAGTTTGTGGTCTATGCACCTGTATGAGAGTGGATGTAATGTAGGTGACTCATACTTTCCTCATTCTTACCTGCACTGATGCAGTCTGGGTAATATGTGTGAGCTCAGACTGTGTGTAACAGCAGATTATCCCAATCTTTGGCTCAGCCCGGCCTGAAACCACAAAGAGCTGCTGTGTTTGTTCAGAGCAGACCAGTGATGAAACCCATTTGGTAGCCGTGTTACAAGCTATTTTAGAGATGACAACAAGCATCACCTTTGCTAAATGTGTACATCAAGAAACCAGACCTGCTCCTTAACAGCATCTCTACTTCTCAAGAGAATCTTAGTATAAGTTATATAGTGCCACCTGCTGGACGCAGTCTGACTGCAACTCAAGACAGTGTGAGTTTTTTCCCTCTCCTCAGTTTTTACTCATACTACAGCAGGGTTCAACAGTCCAAGTAAACATCAAATTGTCAAATCTGTGTTTTGTTCACAATTTTCAGAGTGCTAGAGTCGAACAGGAAAGAAAAAAAATGCAGTAAACCCTCCCTAACCTTTGTAAAATTTCAGAGATTTGCTGAAACCATGTGGGGCAGTAAATGAAAGCAAGGGAGCAAAAAGGTACAAAAAGGAAAACAAAGTCTTTGTTTTAGCCATTGAGTACATTGTGTGTCAGTTTGTATCCAGAATGGAGAGGTTGTCTAAAGATGGGACATATTGTCTCTTAGGAATCCTGATGGTTTGACCGATTGTTGCAGAGGAGAACAAACAGGAAGTGAGAAATCATCAGAAATCATTAGAGCACACTGTCGGAGGTCACAGAGAGTTTCTCTCTGATAGGATCTGACTGCCTCATACCCAACATGCATCAGATGTTGTTGACTTGTTTACTCACGTCACTGATTTGTTTGATTTTATCCTGTTGTCATTTTTTAAGTCAAAAACAGAGTTACGCAAAACTGTGCTTTAAAAACATGGAGAGAAGTCAAACATTGTTTTACATTTATATTACATCGTTTTACGAATAAACGAATAAAAAATAAAATTACGAATAAAAAGTTTGGTTGGACTTAAGAGAACATCTTTATTAAGTTAAAGAGCGTCTTAAATAAGAGCGTCATAGTTAGAGCTATGTATCAGTGTTATGTAAATGTCCTGTCATGCATTTTGTTTCATTGTTGAGAGCCCCAAGTTATTTGTGAATGATCTGTTTTTAAAGAAATGCATTGAGGAAAGTGGGTTTGCAGTATGAGCTACCTGAAATAATTGCAATGGATTCAGAGATATTAAAACCATTGTCAAAAAGCAGCATTTGAGAAAGTGGTGTCTATAAAGGTGTTAGACTAAAGAAACAGACTCTTGATGAGGTTGGTGAATCAGAAAGTCTTACATAAGCTTTTTTTTTTTCAAAAATTTTCTTATTTTTTAACTCAGTTTTTTCTATCAGACAGAGATTTCCAGTTTTATGTGGACAACAAACAGTGGAAACTTCTCTGTAAGTGAACTCAGATCAGTGATGAATTAACTATGGTAACACAAACCTCTGTGACTGCTGAGCTGCTGCTTACTGAGACAGAGCAAATGTGAAAGCAGACAGATGCAGTGGCAAATTCTCTCCACTTGACAGCTTTTAATAACAGATTTGTTAAAAGATGGAAAATATGTGTAATTATTAGGTAAAAATACCGAAATATGTCTGTGTACACTCAACAAAGAGAGGTGAGTTATGGTTCAAAATAAAATTACGGTTTTTTATGAGAATTCTCACCTACAAACTTGAGTTGATGGATTAAATCAGCTCCTTTTGTTGAGAGTTGAAGCCTGAAAAACGGGTCAGGACCTGGAGTTAAGATCAAGTTAAGCAGCCAAACAGAAGCTTAGTTTCAGAGTATCGGCTGCTTTCAGACTTTAGCTTTCAGTTCAACTGGTTTCTTGTGAGGGAAAAGATACTTGGTGGATTGTAGTTCGATACACCTTTTAATTTGAGACGCTTTAGCATTTTGTCTGTAAACCATGTCAACCACCTTCAGCTCGGTCACCATTAACAGACAAAGCAGGTGAGTATCTTTACAGTGCCAGAAATTTTATTTTACAATGTAAAGAAAAAACACAAAACAGAGTCTTCAACAGAAGCAGCTTCAAATCTTAACCCATCAAGTCCGTTTAAAAAACTGCTGCTGTCATGGCCTTTTATCACAAATGTTGTACAAAAGAAAAAGAAATAATACAGGGAATACATTTGTGAAATGAAGCTTTATTAACAGAAGTAAAGAAAACTGTTGAAAAATAGTTTTTACATTTTTATCTTCTTTAAAATGCAGCCAATGAAAGACTAGCACTCATGTGTTACCTTGAGAGATTGATATGTTTTAGTTTTCTCAGGTGGGTGAAAATTAAATGTTGAACTTTTACTTACTATCTATTCTTGGTATAGTGAGGAGATGAAAAAGACACAGTGGTCAATTGAACGCCTCTGAAAGGAAAAAAAAACAGTTTTTCACATTTTTTGACTCCAGTACCAGTGCAGGCCAAAGACTATCTTCATTACTTTGTCACAATATAGATACCTCTGGTCAAACATTTTTTCTCTATCAGGGAAGTTGCTCACTCAAAAGATCATTTCTGTAAAAGTGCTGGAGTTTTTGTCTTTTCATGTTGAGCACAATCAAGAAAATGAGATAAAAATACAACTTATTCCCATTTTTCTGAGATCTGTTGGATAACAAACCAGGATTAATACTGTTGATGTATAAGGTTAAATGTTGTTAAAATAAAGGAAAAGTCAATAAAAACAACTGTGCTGAGTTCTTTCATCAACCAGGTAACTTGAGACCACAGGAAAAAGGCTGTCAAAAGACACTGTTTGGAACAGGTCTATTTTTTCCTGAATTACACTTTAAATTTCACTTTCTGAGCAGGAAAAGTGAATGATTCTGGGATACTATCCTTCATAATTTATACTGTAAAGGATGCTATCGTGCAATGCATCTTGATGTTGGGATACTGGTTGCATGGAATCAAACAGAAATCATGTCTTCAGTAAAGACTTTTTGACAAATTTTATCATTTTCTTTTCTTTAATGTCATGCATCAAAATATTTGATAAGCTGACTAGTTTGTTTTTTACCAAAATCAGATATTATTTGAAAAACTTGTCAATTTGCTGAGATGATCTTTTTTCTTAATGTTGAAGTCATTTCTGAAAGCTCTAATGATAAATTGTTCGGATTAAAAGTCAAAATTAAAGTTCTACTGAGTAAACTCCACAGTAGTTATAAAAAACAAACAAATTTATAATCCACAGCTGTACAAGGCTGAATTGTGGAGTCTCAACAAAGAGCAGCGTGCACTTTCATACTTTTGTAGTCATTACAAGTACAGCAGGTGTAGGCCTATTAATACTGGACTTCTCCCCTCCTCACCAACATTAAAGCTGAAAGAAAATCGCTCCTTGTTCCCATCTTTCTGGCTGAGTGAGCCTGTAAACTCTCTATAAACACACATACACTGCTGATACAAAGTCAGTTCCCACACAGGTGGAATAGAAAACTCTCCATCATCACTGACAGGGAACATCTCTGTGGTCTGCAGCTCAGTCCTGATAGTAATGCCTTATTTCACCCTGATTCTTCTCCCATGTTTTGTTTGACAGCTGTAATGGGCTTATTTATGTGCACAAGGCAAATCTGAGGCTGCTGTTGTTTCTCCTTCTGTGCTGTGAGAGTTAGAGTTGATGTGTGGCGGCTGCATAAAACCACCGTGTTGACAATATCCGCTTATCTGCTGGCTTTGACCCGATGGGAGCAAGGCCATGGCTGGATGCGTCTCTCTGTTATCTCCAAATCTGTGTCTACAGGGCCGACCAAGGACCGCTGGCCAAGATTTTTTTTTTCTTTTTTCACTGCCATGCCTGTGGGTTTCAGGTGGGCTTTTTGTTCCCTGTGCTGGCAGAATGCAGGCTGTGGGCTGAGAAACAATACTGTGTGCACAGAGCAGGGAAGAAACTGCACGTAGCAACTCTGAAACGAGGGAACTCCCTGGAACCTGCGTTTCCAAGCAAGTACGGCTCCCTTCCTCCAAATAGATGGACAGAGAAAAAACCTTCAGAGGGATCTCACAGCTCTGCCAATTCAAATAAACAGGATCACCCTTGACAGCTAGGAGCTTTTATGCAACAAGCTAACTCAAGGTCATGGTTGTTGGAAAGTTTTCAAACCATTAGTCATGTCTAGGATGTTAGAAGTTTGCATCCTACAAATAAGTCAGTCTAAGAGTTGTTCATCCTATAGAAAATAATGTGTAATATCGATGTAAATGTGAAAGGATTTCAATCTGGTGTACCACAGGGATGTCGTCCGGGGCCTTTGTTTTTCCCTCATCTTCCTCTTGTTTTAAAACCAAGATGGAGCAGTTTTGTGAGCTGATGTTACGACTCTTTATCTACCAGCTGTATGAAGCGAGGAATTGGTTGATAAGAGGACTACAAGTTGTCCTTCAATGGCATTGAGCGATACAACAGGAGAGTCTAACTCTTGGGAGTGATGTTAGACAGCAGACTGAAGTGATCAAAGCAGAGTGAGAAAATAGTCATCAGGGCTGACAAAACATCACAGTGAAAGCAAACTGGGGGTCATCCACCTGCTGCAGAATAAATCTGAAAGGCAAACTGGAGGTGAACATGAATCGCCACCATAAGAGAGCAACAAAAAAGTATTAAAATGTTGTTCTGTTGTGTTGTTAAGTGCCAGACAGGAAAGAGTGATAGTTATGTCTCAAGACTGACTCAACATCACAGTCAACAAAAATGGAAGCTTTGGTTAAATGCAATACAAGAGAAAGGACATGATAGGGGGACTCGTCAAAAATGCTCCCATATGTAGTGCACAAACTAAAGTAGATATATAAACAAGCACATATTTATGTTTACACCATAGACAAAATTAAATATATATGAATTAACCTCTCGTAGGAAATTGGGGAGGCATTATGAGGAAAGGATTTCTCTGCAACATTAACCATTTTTGCATACCAGTTTCTTTACCAAAAGAAAACAGAGGGAACATTTCTGTGTCAACCTTCTCTGTACGATTACCATAATCAATCATGACTATAAAGGCTGAATTTTCAGCTTGTCAGATGTATGTTGCTGATTAAAAAGATATAAAATGTGGACACTTGAGAGGACACCCTCTACATATGGATTAAGAAACTGACTGTTGTCTTCTTGGTTTTGGATTTGGCCTGCTATGTGTTCTTGTTATCATCAGGGTTTTAAAAATTCACATTTGAATGAGATTGTTTTGTTTTTTATCAGGCTGCAACTGTTAGCTGTGTGATTTGAATGGATGTAAAATTCAGGGTTGCATGACAGCACTCCAGGAAGGGTGGTTCGTATTTTGGTATTGACTACGAAGGATATGAATGAATGAATGATTTGTTTTAAAGTTAAAGTGCAAACATTAAAAAGATGTTAAAGTTTTTGTCACAAAAAAATCACAAACTTTGACAAAAATATGGTGTTGTATTTCTTTTTTTTAAAGATTAATCACCAGTTAACCACTCCTCCAGAGCCTACGCCAAACCCCGAATGAAGCTCAGTGAGGACTGAAGGTCCAAGGTTGAGGTGATAATAAATGTGTTGCTCACTCTGTTCTGTTGACCTTTCTGCAGAGACACGCTGAGAGAACAGACTCAGGTAGGTCTGTTTAAGCCCTTTATTAAAACACCTTTGCTATGAGTGGCATCAGTTGGAAGTGCAGGTTGATTGATTGATTAATTGATTGATTGATATTATTTAAGGCTGATGAATTTGTGTGAGAAACACAAATATCAGACTGGAGTGGAACTTTTAATTAGGATATTTACTCATTCATTATAAACACTCTTCACGCTGTTGCTGCTGTTAAGTTGAACTTTGCACTCAGAGTATTTACTCACATGTTTGGTGATAAAGTTGATGAATGAACTGTTCTCTAAGAGTAAACTTCAGATGCATGATAAAAGATTTCATCCATATTTGAAAAGAGCTTGAGCTTACAAATTAAACCCGACAGACTCCTACTGCAAGATCAGTGTAGTCAGTGCAAACTTACCTATGCAACATTACTTCTTTGTTTAATGAGCAACAAAAAGAGATAAAAATATGGAAAAATCAATTATTTTACAGCTCTTTGACATGCATTCAACTGGAACAAAATGTTATGATTAGCATGGAGTATTATAAAAGAAGTAAACATCAGAGAACAGGAGCGAACAGATTGCTGTTTGTGGTTCAAGTTGGATTAGACTTTAATGCAGGTTGCTTTGCTTTCAGCAAAAAAAGTTTTGATTTTATTTTTTATGAATAGATTAAGAAAAGCTAATAAAGTCATGAAGTTTAAGATGTGAACACCTGGACAAAACAGAGAGATTTGATATCAGTAACCATAGATGTTACTTTGACAAGTTGAAGTTGCTATGTTAAGAAAAGTCCTTAAAGTTAAAATTTCCTGATTCAATGAAACATTGATACTTGAATGTTCATATGGGTAGAAATCAAGTACAAACCAGTGTTGGGAAATACGCATTTGCAGAAGAAAAAGCCACAGTTCTTTAGCTGTTCACTTAATTATGGCTGCATAAGACAGTGAATCTTTTTTGAGCCCATCGCCCCATGCCCAGTTTTGCAGCAGAAATGAAAACAGTCTTGGTCTGATGTCTCTAATAATGTCCATGTTTTATCATGTCAATAGAAGAAACCAGGAGGTTCCATGTGAGGTGGCTGTTAGCTAAAGCATTATTTACCACTACTGAAGCTGGAATCAGTTTTGTTACCCCTCCCTGCAGCCCACCCCACCTATTTAAACTAATGCAAGTCAAACCAGAAATACCACCTGGAGGTTGGATGAAGTTTTAATTCAGTGTTTACAAAGACCAACAGTGAGATTGTGACAAGATTCATTATTTAGAGAAAAAAATAACACTGACCTGGCTACATAACACAACACAAGTAAACATGTCTCTGGTAAGTTTTTACATGGTCATTTCAAAACTGAGTAGTTTATTGTAAATAACACGATAAAAAGAACTAAAAACTAAATAATAAAATTGCTGGGTTATTAAATAAATTCACTAACTTTGCACAAAAACAAACTTATATAACAAGGTGGCACCTTATAACCTTTTATCACCATAAGGTCATGTGTAAGGGCACTTTTAATTACGTTTTATCCGCCTGAAGGGATCCAGAGGGCACTGTGTTACTGTCCGTTTAATCTACCAGGGAGGCATCTATGGGAGAAGGGTTTTTTTATGTGTTGACCGTCCCTGGTTGGACATTTCATAATATTTTATGAGCTACCAGGAGAAATGTGAGTCGTGTTATTCATCCCGTAAGAGCTATCAGGGTGCTTCCAGGGGTTCCATCAGGTCATTTCAAGCGTGAGGTTGACGCTGGTAATGACCGGAACGTTTGATTGCGGGGCTTGAGTCTGCACGGACTGTTTAGACGGTAACACGGGCGAGCTGTCAAGGCGAAAGGACTGCTCCAGCCTTCACCCCTGCAGTAAGGTCTCTTATATTAACACCTTAATTACTTTTTATTCAGAAAACATCTATTCTACTGCTTGTTTTAGTCCTGTGTTACCACCCGGTATCGATGTTATTAAATGTACTCACTGTTTTCTGTGTCCTTAATGGTACAGTCCGACTTTAGTCAGCAGCTGGACTGGGTTTGTGTCAGATAATCAACATTATAATCCAAAAAAAGACTCATAGATTAATTCTAATTAAGTATGCTTGGATAATGAATCTCATAGTGTTTTTTCAGGCTTAATGTTTCTGTCTGTAACAGGCTTGATGGTTGGTTGTCGTTTCTGTGTTGATCCAATTATCTAAGCTGGGCTTGTTTACCCTGCTGTCATAGTTCACAGTAGCTCACAGTAAAGCTTCTGCTTAAGATCACTGAGGGACACTATTGGGTATTTATATTTGTCTGCTTTTACTATGGCCTTTACTGGAGCAACAGAGACTCCAATCCAAAAACAGGAAGATGCTAAGTGCTGGTACCTTAAGGACCTGAACACACATCCTATAAGGGGTCTGGTTTGACAGGTTATATTCAGTTTCTGTCGTCTACCTGCTGCTGTCTAGGTTTCTACTATGACCGGAGAGACAGGTCAAGGACACAGCAGGAGGTCCAAGCATGAAGATGAGATTAGGAGGGAGACACCACTGGAGAAAGACCAGGCCCATACTGGTTCAGATGATTAGAAAATTGTGTGCCAGTGTAGCTTGAAAATGAAAATGAAACTGAAAATAAAGTGTCACAGATGGGTGGTTTTTTGGGGTGGGGCAGGCTTTCTTTATAAAAATACTGCACTTTTGTTCACTAGCAAGGCTGTAGTATGGGGCTCACAGATGCATCTTAAAATATTAGGATGTGAAAAAGTTCACTGTCCTTTTTAAAGAAAGAGTAAAGCCAATATAGTTGGAATTCTTACAAGTAGGGCTGGGCGATATGGGAAAAAAATTATCACAATATATTTTTTTCATATCAGTCGATATTGATATACAACACAATACAAAAAATGAAATTTAACAGTGCTTGTTGGTAGCATGTCTTTTACAATACAATAAGCTACTACATCTGTGAGGTCTTTGTGTCTCTTCGACGTTTTGTTGTGAGGTGTTGCGCTAGAGAAAGCGGACTGCATGGTTGACTGTTTTGGCTGAACAGGCGCCATGGGCTCCTTGCTCCGCTTGGGGTTTGTAACCTTTTGCACTGTGCATGCTCTGCCGAGTGGCACTGCTTCAGGTGCTAAAAATTATTTGAGGTATTCCCAGACTTTGCGAGAACATGTACTCGACATAATTTGCAGTGCACATTACTCTGCTTCATTTCTGACCTCAAAAAACCAAAACACCTCCACACCTGAGCATCTGAGCATATTTTCTGAAGATGCTTAGATACATGTCATTATATCAAGCCACTCCTGAACCACAGGCAGTGTTAAAAACATCTAACATGGGAAAAGGTGATGCTGATGATGCCTACAGGTCCTAGAACCTGCCCTTAAAAATACAGAAAAGCTGAAGGTTGTTATCAAAGCAGCCTGGGCTTCAATTACACATTCTGCATCACACCGATGCAGTTATTCATGGTAAAGAAGCAACAACCAAATACTCAGTGTATGAACAAACATACATTTCAAGACTAGCATATATTTGTTTTTGATTTTTCTAATGATAGGAGATACTAGATACTACTGTAACGCACCTATTATTGTTTGACATCACCAAATTAGGGCAAAACCCCAAACTTAGCTAATCATTTACTGTCTTTGACTGCCAGATCATGTGCTAATTCCCTGCTATCAATCAGTGTGGCTGATACATATCTGTGTACAGAGAACAATGTTTCTGACGGAGACAAGCTACATTTTGCAGCATCCTAGTCTTTGAATCAGTTTGGTAGGTCCCATAATAATAAATTTTTGCTTGACTTAATAACAGAGAAACTCCATCACTGGTCATTCACGTTACAGGTAAAAGGTCACTGAGCTCTTTTTTTACCAGCTGCCGTGCTGCCAAGTTTCCTACCCATCATGGTCTTCTGTTATTTATATATACACACATGACACACTGGTCACAATACCTGGGGATCAGTCTGGGCAAATGAAGCACAGCAGTCAGATTTCCAAAACATAAAATTTACCAAGAAACTCTAAAACATCTGAAACTTTGGTTATGTATAAAACATGTTGATTGCTATATTATGTTTTCATCTACTGCATCTTGGTGTGTTCATGATAAAATAAGACAACCAAAGCAGTCAACTGTATGTGTCTTTAACTGAACTAATCTTATGGTGAAGGTCTGTCACATTAAAAATGCAGACTACAGGCTGAAACTCGATATCAAAGTATTTATCCACCTGCACACAGACGCACTAATGTTAGCTACTCTCTGTATTTTCACTTTTGTTTGTCGATGTTCATGTGTCACAGTTGCCGACTTTGGATTGTGTAGTTGAATCTGTGTTACTTTCAGAATATCTTGCTGCTTTTACCATGACAGAGACCTTGATCACAGCAGAACAATTCCTTACAGACACTTTCACAACAATCAGCTTTCAGTTGAGTATTATTAGCACTAGACAGTATAATAGAGACCATCGTCTAAAAGTGTTAAAATACCAGAAGAACTCTAAAAATTTTCTAAACAAAGAACTTTTGCTCATTAGTGAAACATTTTATAGAAATGAAAAACATCTTTATCACTAGTACAGTGTTTGGATCTCGATCAGTGGAGTCTTTTCTCCCCAACATTTTATTTTTTACTTGTTCATCCTCAATGCAAGCCCTTGTGAACACATCCTTATATTGTGTAATAGTGTCAGTAATTTCCTAAGTGGTATCACATAACTCTTGCGGTGTCTGTGTTCTCTGCAGGCCTCCAGGATGGCCCAGGCAGACAGCAAAGTGCTGGTTCTGGGAGCTCTGGCTGGAGTGGCCGGCATCAGTCTGGCTGTGGTGTGTTACCAAGGCTTCAGGTCGAAACGAAGAAACTCTTGTCCAGCGTTTTACCTCAACAGACATAATGATCGGGGGACCGGCCTCATGGTAGTGGATGGTCCCGGTATGCCCAGGGGTCAGATTGAGGTGCTGGAGCGTCTGGAGGCTCTGATCCAGTGCGTGTCAGAGCTGAAGGAGGAGATGAAGTCATTGAAGAACGCTCTGCCGACACTACAGGACCAAGTCAGGGAGGAGCTGAGGGGTCGTGATGAGGCGAGGCGTGTCAGCCCCCTCCACAGGAGCACCCCGACACGAAGGAAAAGGGCTGCAGGCGCTGTCTCTGGGGCCAGAGCAGGGGGGCGGAGCTCAGAGGAAGCAGAGAGCGAGGGAGGGTGAGTACTATAAGAACCTTAAGATTTGTGTGCCACTTTTAAATGTTTCCTCACAGTAGTTAGGATGAGGTCAGCTTTAGGTTCAGGGGCTACCAGTTTCAAGTATTGATGCTGGTACCTGCTTGGTTAGGGAGCTGCATCTGGTGGCAACAAAAGGAGTTTTCAAGTTGCTGTGGTAACACTTGTCAACAATGAAGTAGTCACACCAGAACAGATATCGTAATTTAATTTGTGTCTGATCACATAGTTCGCAAAATGAGCGCCATCTTCTTCTAATGACAACCACTGCAGCTGCTCCCTGCTGGCCATGAGAGAGAATACAGTTAAAGGGCAGTTCCGCATTTTTCCACAAATGAGTCCAGGGTGCTCATTGACGTACTGGATACTGTCTATGCTTCAGCTTACCATATTCTCAAAATATGCACCCAAAAATATTCTTTTATGGGTTGTTTTGATTGTAGTAGTGGGGAGTCCTGTCTAACATCTGTGCAGATTATTTGCAAACATAGCTCAAGATGGAAAAATGTCTTTCCAAACTGAAAATTCACCTCAGTGTGGTGTGAAAATCCTTTGTTGAACAGGGGAGGATTTAACATTTCTCCATTCAAACATATTTTACTCTACAAACTTCACACCTGATTACTTCACAACTTTTGTATTTCCGTCTTTTGACCCAGTCCAATATTTGCCCCATCCCCCAGTGTGATATGTGGTGCTATAAAATGCACATTTGTGGTCATGAAGGAATCACTTTTTTCTAAGTGGTGTGACTCAAAACCACGCAACAGTTAATATCATGAATTTAGTGATTAGTTTCCTCACTAGCCTTAATCATACATAGACATTTTTTGCAGTTGGGAAACCCATAACATCTGTCGGTTAAGATCACACTACCCTTGCTCATGGATCTCTGCAAGAATCAAGGGTCATATTGTGATTTCAGGAGAGATTTCAAGATGAAGGATACAAATTTGAAATGGGTGTTATATTTTGAAAATTAAAAATCAAAGGTGAGTCCAAAGATTCTCTTTGTTTTTCTTTCCATTTTCCTAGTGCAAGAGTCAGGAGACATGAACCTCAAAACACAGTGTGTCTTATCAGTAACCTGCAGCTGTACCTTTGGACACTTAGCGATCACTGCCAGAGTCAGATTTGACTGAAAAAGAACAAAAACAAGTCCCTGCTGTGGAAGCAGTTTAACTTTTGTACAACTGTGAAACTCAAAGTGCAACAATAACAATAACATTATAACAAGAATATCTATGGTTGTAGTTTTAGTCTACCTCAGTATAACATAATATTCTAATGAAGCTCCACATAGCTGTGCCTCATTATATCATTACATCAGGCAGATAAACTGTGATTAACCCCAAATTTACAAATATTTGCTTAGTTTGTTTCTTATGCACATAACTGCAACAGGTTAGAGGCTGTTGGTTACAATGTGCAGTGAAACTTCCTCTGGGACACAGTTATGCTGTGGACATGACCAAAGAATGCTCCTACAACCTGATCAATATGGCCCTTTCTTTTTTTTTTTTAATATTAAAGCTGTGTTTTTAGAAAAGCTGAAGATGGTTTATTAACTAATCCTTGAATATGAACTTTTAAAACAAAACAGTCTTCAATAGTTCACATTTTTTTAATGGCAAATTATATCAGATTATGGTATTTCATGGTGTGGTATAGAATGGTATCGTCTCATACTAATCTATTCTAACATAACTAATGATATTGAACTGTCAGATGTTAGTTTTTGAGGGTCTGACATTTACAGTTGCTGCTTGTGATAGAGCTGGGATGGTGTCATCAGTACAGAGTTTGTCCAGCAGACTTCACTGTTTACAACACTTTAGCTGCTGCTCATGAGCTGACACAGGAGCAGAGCTGAGCTGCAGGTTTTATAACAAGTTTACGTTTCTGCCTCTGCTTCAGGAGCGTCTCATGTTCAGCCACTAATTGTCTTCAGGATTATTTCTTAATCGAACATGAAAAATTCCATCAGACATGTGCACAACAGAAAAAAACTGCAGGTTTCCTGCTCAACAAGTGGTAAACTGTGAACTAATGTCAGGTTAATTCATCTTAATTACTGATTACTGCGGGGACCGAACATTTTGTGGGCCCCCCACATTACCAGTCAGACTCGCTCGCTCCATTTCCGTGCTGAATAATACTGATGACAGTATGTACATTAGCCTGAGGCGCTGCACAGAACAGCAGACTAATCAAGCAGCACATGCCCAGTCATCCACCTCTAACCTCAGCCAAACACCTTGAACGTGTGCCAGCCTTAGATAACATAAACAACAGATGTGTGTCTGTTCAATAGACAATTATTCTGAACCTCATCTCATAAAAAACAAACATCAGCTGTCATACTATGATAATTAGAACCAAACTTTTCAGCAGTCATGCAGCCACAGCAAAAGTCTTCCCGGAGATGACTCGATACTTTCAAACATGTCATTTGTTAACTGTGTGAAAGTTGGCAGACATGCTCTTCCACATGCAAATCTCTGCTAGGACACTCTGTCCGCCGCTTCAGTACTCAACCCGATGTGACCCTTGATCTTCTCCGTAGGAAGTGAAGTTTGTGAAGTGCCAAGAAGACAAGCTTCTGTCAAATCCTAACCACACAGTTTGAACTGTGCGGTGAGTCTTAGATTAGAGCTGTACAGCTCCTCCCTGCTTCTGTTACTGTCCTCACAATGATTAATCAGCTGCCTCCAAGCCATTTTTACAACTACAACAACATTAAGTAGGCCAAGTGAACATCCAGTGCACCCTGGGTAATAAATGTTAACTGTCTGTGTCCTCTAAGAATCACATTCCAGGCGGAGGCTGGGTCCTGATTTTTTCTTTACTGTTTATGTTTATACAACGTCAGCAGTTATATAATGTTTAAGATAACTGGCTCAGGAAAATAGGACAGCTCCAGAGCCAAGCATGAGGAAAATAAACAAGGAGAGAAAGATAATTGAGTTTGAATTAGCATCTGAGGGTCAAGTCGCAGTGTGTAGATGTTTGTTTTGTTTTTTTTTACTCATTTTTCCTAAATTTTTCTTTTACTTCTAAAATCACTGTGATACTGAAACATCTTTTAGTTTTTGATGTTTATATTCTTCAAATGCACTTAGTCCAAACACACTGTATCCGTTAAGGTCCACAGGTTGTTTCCAATCTGCAAAGGTTGTGTGCTTGTCCCTCAGTTGTCAGTGATCCAGCTTATGTATTAGCAGTGTGACCAGGTAACATGAAAGTAACGGTGTTACTTAAAAAATTTAGTTTTCAAGTCCTTCTGCACTTGCAAAATGAACATTTTTGCATCTTCTGCTCTCAGTATTTTGCACAGTAGGCAGAAATTCTCCATATTGCATATTCATCAATGCAAACACACTAAATGGACAATCTGTGTTATCTTGTGTATTTTAAAGATTCAGCCCTCAGCGTGCACCATTAGTTCATCAGCTTGGGCCTTTTTTTTGGTGTGTGATATCAAGTTTTTACATGTTTTTACACATGCAAACCTGAAGTAATTCCAGCTCTCCTTCTACTATGAGGATTTGTTGCAAGCAGTAAAAATGGTCAAGCTCAGAGATGTGAGTGACGTTGATCAGGACCAGATTGCGTTGGCCTGACAGAGCATCTCAAAAACTGCAGCTCTTGTGAAGTGTCTGAGTGGCCAGTGCCAAAAGTGTGGTGAGTGAGGAAATCTGCTAAGTCTGCAACAACTTCTGATCCAACTGTAGAGCTACTGGAGCTCAAACAGCTGAAAAAGTTACTGCTGTTCTGGTCAAAAGGTGTCAGACTACACAGTGTATCACAGTTCGATGTGGTGGACTAATAGCTCCAGTCCATGGAGCCAGACCTCACAGCTTACAACACTTAAAGGATCTGCTGCTAACAACCTCAGGGGTCACAGACCTCTTACTTAGACCAGAGGTTTTGTAAGTTCAGATTTTGATAGGTCTAGACTCTTTGGGCCTTTACATAATAGGTAAAGAGATTACACAAAATGAGGCATTCAGCCATTATGCTGTGCACTGATAAAGAAAAAGTTCAGACTGATTTTTTTTTTTAACACAGATCACACGCTTAACTATTGTGGCCACAATTCCACAAGGGTGTCTCCACAGACACGAGATCTCTCAGAAACACTCATGTCTTTTACTCAGACATTAAAAGGCACTCATGTGTTGATGTTTTAAATACAGTCATTAGTCACTATTTGAAAGAAATTTGAAGGCGGGATGTTTTCTTTCATGCTACTCAATGAGTAGCAGCGTCAAGTTGCAGTTGACATTGTACACAAAAGTTAGCTTCTTCCTTCTCCTTTTTTGAGCATGTAGAAACCTTTAATTTAATTGATTATCTGTGAGAAATATCATTTGAAAAATTCATCCTTGTTGATTCTCATGTTCAAAAATAAATTTCATTTCATTCATTCATTCCTAAATCAATGGTTGGTTATTGCAGGTACTTCATCAGAAGCACACTGACCTGGAATCATAGTCTAATCAGAGTATAATAATAAGAGTATTGAACCATGATTGGAAGAAGTAAAAGAGTCAAATTGACACTCCACAGGAGAGTATTATTTGCACACCATAGACTGTACAGTATAATACATGGAAGTGGTGTTTGTGATGTCACCGGTAACACTTAATTTGACACCTATCTCTATACCGCATCATAAATATATTTATAATGTGTTATAGTCACGTTAGAACACTGATAACAGTGTTATAACTGATAACAACTCACTAAAAATGCCCACATAGATAATGCCTGATACATAAAAATACCTGACCTTGTAAGTCATGATCATAATGCTATATAATGTGTTATGATTACTGCTATAAAGCATTATGATCATTTATGAGTGTTTATAACTAAGTTATACAGTGCTATAACCTGATTATAATGCATTACAACTATATTTATAATGTGTTATAGAGATAGGCGTCAAATTAAGTGTTACCATGTCACCTATCTGTTTCTGAAGCAAGGATTTGAAGCCTATCGGCGCCTGTCGCCATTCTGGAAATGCTGACTCACATTAAGTTGTGGTTGACATACCTGAGACAGGCATTAAGGCTCTTCATAAACAGCTACAGTGTTCCCTGCTGGCAGTCAGTCAAGTCAGCCATGTCTTTGATTTTACTGATTTAACAACCTTTTTAACCCTGAAAATTGAGTCCCTGGATAGTGGGAACCTGAACCAAGCTGTGCCCTCTCAGTCATCAGGAGTTGCAAACTGGGCCCTAAATCTGGCCTAAGGTGTCTTGTGTGATGCCAACCAAAGTACACTATGAAGAGCGCTGTGTCGTATGAGATTGCCACAGCCGCTCATATGTTTCTGCAACCTAGTTCGGGTTAGGGTTAGAGGAAATACAGGAATCGATAGCTCTATTGCCTGTAGGGTAAAACAGTGTTTAGAAATGGTCATATTTCTAGTGAACACCATCTGCTAAAATCCCCTCCAGCATTGTTTACTGCACAGCAAGTTCTATAAACACTGGAAACATACCACACAGAGATACTAGTATTATATCTTTTATGTAAGCAGGTCCGTCAGACAGTCTCGACACTCAAGCTCCACTCGTGTTACCTTTGCCCCCCTCTTTGGTTGGAGGAACAGTGTGAAGAGTAAGACTGCCCTCTAGCAGGTACAGTTCGCTGGTTTTGAGTGGCAGTCGTCGGCCGCATCAAATGCTCTTAATTACAGCCTGGGTTATTATGCTTTAAAAGAAATCACCTCACGCACACACCTCCCATAATTAGAGAGCCTTTCCTGCCGCTCTGTTATTTGTATGAGCAGAGGGTGTGGGGGTTAGTGGGAATGGTGCAGTGAAGAAATTTTCAGCCCCTCAGGGGATGTGTAGCGTTCCCCCAGAGGAGCCGGTTACACCCCTAATCCTCACATGTCTGCTCGACTGGCCTGGAACTGTTTAGAGAACAACATCTCCACATAAGATCCCCCCGTATGAGCCGTGATACGCAGGGTTGGGTAACAGTTGTTGCACGTTTGTTGAAATCTAAAGCCTCGAGAATAAATTCAGGATTAGCAAGATTAGCACAGTTATTGCTCGGTGCAGAATGGAAATGTGCAAAAACTCTGAGTGCAACATTGAATTTATATAGAACTTCATCTGTTTCTACCACAGGAATAAGGAAAGACATCTTAAGGCGTGTAGTCAGGTGGACGTCTTTTAATTTACAGCTTCAGCAAGGGTTCAGCTTTCCAACAGGGGGCATTATGAACAGGAGCAGCAACACATCCCCCAGTTAGAGGAGCCTGATAGAGACACAGGCTTGTGTTTCTACCATCCAAGCATAATGGTTTTCTGACATCCCTGTTTTTGTGTTTTATTATTCCAAAGCAAGTTGACCATGAAAAGAGAGAAAACGCCATTCCTGTTTCCACATACAGAACTTTTTCTGGAGACACTCCAGGTGTGACAGCGCCGGCAGTGTGTCTGATCAGACAGTCAGAGTGACGATGTACAAACTCCTGCAGTAATACTCGCAGGCAGCGCAGCGTTTAGCATGACGTTATGTCAGAGCTATTGGGTGTCGATCAATACAGGAACATGCAGACCCAGCCTCTATAAGGTTGAAAGTTCCAGCTGTTTATTCCTCTCACTCGTCATGTGTCACAGCGGCTTCCTCAGAGCTACCTCTGTGCAGGTAAGGAGATCCATCAATCAGCCCGTCTGTGTGCCAAGCTGTCAGAGGCCTCATTTCAAAGTATCTTGTAGGAACTTGTAATTCCTTGAACAGTTCCCGTTGAGTTTATTCACATCACGGCGCTGTAGCTTAAGGACATTACCTCTTCTTTTTTCCTTCTCCAAAAAATAGCATTTATGGATACTGGATAGTTGTTGATTTAAGCAGATTTAAGTAGGAGTTTTGTTTAGCGGCGGGCATGTCTGATCAACACGCAGAAATGTTTAGAAAAGAGAAAAGGGAGTTCATTGTCTGTGAAGCGATTAAAAGCTTTAGTATAACTTCCTCGTGACGTCATGGGATGTGTTGCTCTGCAGGCAGCTGTCCATATCCAAGACATTCAAATAGTATATCCTACCATTCAGTGAAAGACAAACAAACATGTTTTCTTGAATGGTGCACGGAGCGTACAGTCTTCACAGAGCAGACATGATCTGACGTCTGGTGTCCCCAGTCAGTCTGTTATGTATACTGTACGTCTGACCACCCACACTGCTGTTTCTATGGCAGATATACGAAATGTTGATTTTTATTGTTAATTACTGGATTCATCCTGGATCATTTTTGAAGAAACAAAAAAAAAATAATCAATGAAAAATATGTGTTTTACTTAGAGCAGATTAAATGTGAACCATTGTGGGAAGTGGGTCATTCTTTCAGAGTCAAGATCCTTCATTGAGGGCCTGACTGGATGTTTGAGATAGATCCTGATATTACAGGGGATACATTCATCGTTTATTAACTTGAGTGAATAAGCTGTGGAGACATGCGGCTTTTAATATTAACATTTATTCTATTACATTGAATTTTTTATTTTTTATTTTTTTTGATAAATTGGGGTGAACCAATATTGGTGTTTTCAGGGTAGATACCAAAACAGACACAGATCCAGATAATAAGCAGTACATGTGACCGATAGGTAATATTTGGAATGGTGATTCATTGACAGTAAAAAACGTTCAGTCAAAAGTTATGATTTGAAATATTGCAAACTCTTATGTGACAACTTTTGAAATACCTTTAGCAAACATTTCAGCAAACTTTCAAAATCATATACAGAAGTTAAAAATTAATACTTAATACTTATGTCACACAGTTTTGTGATGTCCAGCCAATCAGATGGTGTTGTGGGCGTGGCATTAGGTGGAGCAAAGTGTTACAAGAGAACAGACCCAGAGGTAAAGATATCCCAGCAGATCGCTGAAAAGGTTGATAGACAGTCACTGACTGCTAAATATCGTTTTACCCCTGCTCCTGAATATTTCAACTCAGAAGGACGTGCTGTTTGGAAAACAAAAAGAAATCATCGTCAAGCCCCGAAGCAGACAAATTTGGTTCAAATTTGTGGTTTGGTTCGGCTCGTGACTCTTTACCACATGCCATTCTTCACTTTTTCTCCTCCAGTTCCAACTCGGTCAACTCCGCTGTTTCTAAATAAAGGCACAAAAGCCCAAAAGTCAACTTTGAACAAAGAGACTTTAGGACATTAAATAAGAGAGATGAAGGGCTGACAGCACCTCTGCTGCTAGTTGGCTTAACGATCAAATTCTTTGTTTTGCTAGCTGTCACCAGAATAACTTATTACTGTTTCCATTATTGTTAGCCTGCTAGAGTGCAGGACATAAATCTGAGCTGTGGGGCTCAATTTCATGATTTCTGAGCGTTTTCTTGATCCACTGTGGTGAGCTTGTAAGAATTTCAACTTCTATTCGTCAGCTCTGAGATTAAAGTTCCTGACATTTACAGAGGAGACTGAAAGTTTTATTGATGCGTTTTTCAGATAAAAGAGGCTGTGAGTGGTAAGACTGACAGTTAAATAACTGTAATTTTCTGAAGCCTGAAACTGGTGCAAACTGATGAAACTCACAAAAAATTATACATATGACAGTCAGAGGTTAGTGGGATGAGATTCTTTTATCAGTAAACATAACTAAAGTATGTAGAGGATAAGGTAAACAAAGTCTGCTTTGTCCACAGGGGGGCACCAAAATTGGCATTGACCAAAAGTTCCTCACAGGAGCTTTAATTGTCACCTTTGTCTTCAAATCGTCCTAAGTTTGTTTCAGTTTTCAAGTGTGTTCAAAGAATTTGTTACATTCCTGTTTATTTTTTCTTTGAGTTTTGGATATCGGTCCCTCAGACTCCATCTCATAAAGATCTGTGGAGACAGACTTCTCTTGGGGTCTGCCTCAAGTGGCCATTCAAGGAACTGAAGTTACTGGCCCTCCCGTGTGTATACACCATTATTCAATCCTGAGACAGCTGCTTCGTTCACACGTGTTTCTTGACTGTTGTTCTTGCCTTTTGGCAAAAGTCATAAATTTAACGTCACGAATGAACAAAACTCAAATTTCCAAACGGGTTTGTTCCTCCAGCTATTTTAGGAGCAGAGTGTTACAACATCCTTACTGAAGAGCTATTTGTGGCTAAACTAACAAGATGAATTGCTGCATTCATTGGTGCCGCTGTAGTTTCCTGATGTGTCTGTCAAAAACGAGTGACAGGTTATTTCCCTCTGCCTGTATTGCTTAAAACATCAAAGGAGAGCAGACTAAAGTCACAAACTCTGTGTTGTTATGAGCAGCTGATCTGTGAGATAGTGGGAGTCAGGCCTGCTCAGCTTATGGGAAGGGAGAAGAGGGGGGCTGTTTGCAGTCAGACAGCCATTGTTGTAAAGTGGGCTCTCAATAGTCCTGTCACCGCTGCTACATACACTGAATGAGTGGGACTGCATGTTCCAGAGCTCACTGATGTTGGGATGGTAACTCTGGTTTGTTTTGAGCGTGTAACCGAGGAGACTGCCGTGCCGAGCTCTATTGAGAGATCCCTTCAAGGCCCCGTGGGGTCTGGGTACTGAATAGCTGATCTCTTCCAGCGAGCACACTGCATGTTCAAAATAAAGCTCTCCAGTCTTTAGCCTCAGATACAAGGGCTGCAAAGTCAGACCAAGTGTGGTCGCTGAATACGAAATCAAAAATTTATTAAAGTGAGTAGTGAAAGATTTCTGAATATGATGTCAACATGTTTCTCTGAGGACGTCAGACTGATATATGTCAGCTCAGCACTACTTTATCAAGTTATTTAAGAGTTACAGTTTAACTCCAGCTGCGATAATAAATAAGAGATTGGAGTATTTACTCATTTTAAATTTTGTGAGCTTAGACACTGAGAATCTTTAAACTTGGTCATCGGGTCAATTTTTCATATTTTTTTTTGTTTTTGTTTGTTTTTTATGTTGAGCCACTTGGGGTCAAGGCAAAGTTCAAACAAACAAACAAAAAAAACTGTCTCTCTCTCCTTCTCCTCCTCCATTCCCTGACAGAAATGTGGGAGTGGGTGAGGTAGAGGGTCCAGCATGAGCACAAAGATGTGAGCTCCAGCATGAGCACAAACAGACTTTTCGCCCTGGCTGGTCCTTTATTCGTCTTTTTTCTGACTCCTCCTCTTCACACTTCCCTCTTTATCTCTCTGTTTATTCCTTCATGAAAATAGATGGCTGAGTGTGCAAAGAGGTCCAAAGTGTGGCTACATTTTAAAGTGAAATGCAGTTTGTAACGCAAAATAATTTCCTCCAACCTCCATGACCAAGCACATGAGTATTGTGCATCAAATCAAGTCAAAATGCAAAACCTTTGACTTATTGCACCTTGAAACTAATTAGCCTTCACCAGCCTCTGTCGCAGGTAATGCAGGGCCGCCATCCTCCTCTTCATACAAAGTAGCCGGGGTAAAAACACCCAGACTTAAAAGCAGATTGTTGAAGTCAGTGTTGACATCCTTGTTAAAATTAGCAGAATAAATGAGCTTTTTAGCTAACCAATCAAGATGACATACAAACACAAGCTAAGGTGATCACGGCTGAGTCAGCAATATGAGAATTAAGCAAAAGTAAATAACTTTTCATCGTGATGTGTCCAAATGTGACATCCACAAAAGAAGTCAAATTGAAAAACCTGTATAAATACAAAAGATTGGAGGGAAAAAAGTAACAAAAAAACCTTAATAGCAGGGATAAAAGTATTAGTATCAATGATAATAATAATAATAATATCAATAATAATACTCATCATCATCATCCTCATCATCATAAACCCCATCCCTTTTGGGAGCACAGAGAATTTGTAGATTTTTAAAAAATGCATTTAGCAGGGACTCCGTTATTTTAAACATGTTGTGCTACAGCAGTAAAAACTGTCATGGTAGAGAGAGGAGAGCTCCTCTCTTAGCTGACCTTGGAGAGGAGCAGAAGGAGTAGATATGTGTGATAGTGAAGCAGAGGGACAACACGAGATAGAGAGGTGAACAGTGTGAATGAGCATCACCCATCCAATGATTTCCAGCTTCAACAGTGTGTCGAAGGTTGAATTGTTAGGAGTGTCAAACTTTGAATGCATATGAACATGCAGTCATATCAATAATTGTATTCAATAATCATAATCTCTTATTGAGCAGCTCTCCAGTGTTACATGATCAGCAGAGGCCTGTTTGTCAACTGACCTGAACATATCATTAAACCTGTCTTACTGTATTTAATGCCACTTAATAACAGAGCACTGATAATGATAGAGTTCTCTGTTGCCACCTTCTTTCACCATATTCATTCTTTTAATATCATCCTCAATCACAGGTCATTCCCCCTTTTCTCCAGTTTGTTTGCTTGCATTTTTTCTTTGCAAAGAGTCCAGTTATTTCCCTCATGTTTTTTCTGCCTGCCCACTCAAGCTGAAGTTGCCTGCAGAAAACAAAATCATGTCATGTGTGGGTCGTAAGTGGGCCTGCTGGTGTATTATAGTTGGTGTTGACGCGCTGATGACAATATTTAGACGTGTTCTTTCAGAGCTGTGCACTACGAGTAACTTTACAAGGATAATAATGGCTCCCACACACAATCATGGACACAAAATAAACACACACACACTAATACAAATAGATCCTTAGTTTCTTTTTTCTTTCAACTCAAGTGATTGATGAGCCGTGGAATGGCGTGACAGGAATGCGCTGATCACTCAGTCCTCCAGCTCCACTGAGAAAATAACTGCAGGGACTGTTCAATGAATAAAAGAACAAAAGGGTGAATGAATTAGGGAATGTATGAATAGATGACACAAGTCCAATAATGAGACGATCTGATTACAGTTCAAAAGCCATGTCTGAGTGTTGCAAGTCATTGCTCTGTAATATGGTGAGAGCAGACCACAACAGTAAGAGTCGACACGAAAGCACACCCATTCAGGGTTTTGGCGAGCGTTGGCCAATAAATGCCTGCAGTTTGGAGTGTTTGCTCAGGGGTTAGTGCATGAAGGGACTGAGGTGTTGGGAAAAGGCTTTGCACACCATCTTAAAATTAAGGTAGAAAAACAGAAAGAGGAGAAATCAAAGATACCCAAGTGTAGTTTACGATAACAATGATTTTACGTTTCCTTCTGAGTTATAGGACTTAAATAAAAAAACAGACTCCTCATTTTATTCAACTTAACATTTCCAAATATTTCAACTTGTCGCTTGTGCTTCTGTCAAACTCCACTTCAGGAAAGCTACAGTTTTCATTTTTTTTAATTGTTTTTGTACACTTTCTGAAATGATTGAGACACTTTTGCATCGACTTGACCTTTGCAGCACACTTCGAAAAGAAAGGAGGGCAGAGGATGATTTTGCATGTTGTGTCTGCTAAACGACCTCATTTTTTCATTGACAGTTTAGTGCGTGAGATTCAGGGGAATAGTGATGGAATGTAACCTTGATTTGTTTTTCAAAAGTTGTTTTCCATATTTCCAACTCAGCTTTTATGCCAACAGACATGTTCTGTCCATGAAATCCAGCATATTTCTACAGTAGGCCAGAAAGGATAAACCAAACACAGCCTGTCATGTTTTTTCAAGAGCTTTTGTTGCCACTGTAGATTCTCCTGTGCGCTCAGAAGAGGAGGGTGTGGGCAGTGCTAGTCTGTGAGATATCTGCAGCATCACCAGTGGATACCACAAAATGCTACACACTATATTTGCTTTTGTATTGATGACTTGGTGCATGCCCCTTTTCCAAAAAATCTGGGATTTGGGGACAAATTTAATCCATAATAGTGAGAAGACTAACACATTCATGGTTGTCAGTGAAGATTGTAATCGACTCATGAGGTGCATATGCTTATCTGAAATTTGATGCCTGTAGAAAAGTGGAACAGGGACAAAAAAAAGAAGAAAACATAGAAGGGCTCATTTACAACACGTTAGTAACATTACTGACTGTCACTATTAAAGATGGAAGCAGGTTCACCACTTTGTCAAGAATAAGACTAACTTTATTTTATCCCCAAAGGGAAATTCAATTGTCTTTAGTCTCACTTGTCATGTCTCAAAAAGTCATCTACTATTTATGGAAGAATAGTAAAGTCTGATGGCTGTGGGTAGAAAATATCTTCTGAACCTTTCTGCTCTGCAGCGAAGAGAGAGGAGCCGTCCACCAGAGAATTTGGGATTTCATCATCCTCACTCTGTGTGCAACACCATCAAAAGAGTCAGAAATTCAGGAGAAAAAGAGACCAGATCAAAAACACATCACAATACCAGGTGGCTGTGCACTTCAGGCCCTCAGCTAGCACTGAAAACTACAATTTGAAATTGACTGTAGTAAAAATAATCGCATGGGGTCCAAGTCACATCTGACAATGATCATCTGTAAACAAAGTTTGTTGCTTCATCCATGCAAAAAACAAAAAAACTATTAAAAGGAATGACTTTTTCTGGTTGAACCTATTCAGGGGTTGGAAAATTGTTATTTGGTCTGACAAATCAAACTATGAATTTCTTATTGGAAACCATGGACGCTGGATCCTCCTCTCAAAGGGGTAAAGGGACCACCCAGCTTTTTACCGGTCTGCAGCTCTAAACCAGCATCCTTGATGCAGTGGAAATGCACTAAGACACCATGACTTTTTTAGGGAGGACCTTGCATATTTTAGCAAGACAATGCAAAGCCACATTCTGCACGTTTTTAAAGCGGCATGGCTCTGTAGTATAATAGTCTGGGTGCTAAACTGGCCTGCCTACAGTCCCGACCAGTCTGCCAATGAAAACGTTTGATGCTACATGAAAGGAGGAATACCTGCGAAAACATCATTACACAATTTGCAGAAAAGGACACCAACAGATTTTAAAGTGTAAATAAGCTGAATCAAGGATGGTCATGCTTTGGATCTGAGAGGAAGGACACTGAGTCGTGTGAAGACAGCAGTATAATCACTTGATGCACTCTGCGAGTAATCCTTTGAGTAAACAAAATACTGAGTGCACCTTTGATTTCATTAAGAAAAGGATGCATTTGATCACGACAGACAATGCAACATTGTGATCTGTAAAGTAGGCCAGCATTTCTTGTTTTGTGTTGTTGGCATTATTAGCCTTGGCACGTTGTTCTTGACAGTTCCTTTGTTGACTGAAGAAAATCTGCAGCTCAGAAATGCCCTCACATTTCTCCTGTAATCACAGCACTCTGGGCTGAAGGTGTGTGTTGTGGGGTGGAGTCAGGAAGCAGCCTCCGGCACGAGGCACCTGTTGGGTCCCAAGTGTTTCTGTCTGTGGCCCGCTCTGACACATCCCCCCAGAACCATGGCTGGCAGCCCAAAATATTCCCTTAACCACCAATGACGCACATGCAGCAGCTGCCAACACTTAATGGAGGCTTTTCATATTTTCACCCTTGTCTATGTCTTTCATTTTTTACCTTTACCATTAATACGGCTGTTATTTTACTAGAGTTAGCTCAAGGTGTTTGTACATACTTACAGAAGTTGAAAGGCTCCATAAAACATCTAATGCGGCTGTTGCGTGCCTCACCCCGACAAACAAGTCTCCCTGTGTTGGTGCGAAAGCCTTCAGGTATCCGTGCTAAGGCGTCAAGATTTTCAAACAGCCAGTCTTTATAAACAATTAAGTGACCCACTTATGTAAACAAATTGTGTGTGTAAACATGCCGTTGAGATTGATCTTTTAAAATCAGCACCTGGCAGGAGAAAGTGTTAGAAACGCTTGTTAAGACTTCAATGTTTGACTTAACTCAGAGAGGGGTTTGACTTCACTTCACATGTAGGCGATGGTGAAGACGGGGCTCGAGCCATCGACTTTTACCTCAGGGAAACTGGCAACAGTTGGCTGATGTAGCTGAAGGCGGGGTGGAGATAATCAGGGAAGTTTTATTGCACATGCTGACAGAAGCTTCTTTTACCAACACATTGTTCTTTGTTGTTTTCAGATATATAACAGCGCTGACAGACTCTGACGAGGACGAGCTGAGCGACGCACAACAGAGTGAGGAGGAACAACCTGCAGACCAGCTCACTGTCCTGCTCGAGAGGATCGACTCTTTGCACAAGGGCACTGACTCAGAAAAGAGGGAGAGTCTTGACCTCCTTCTGCAGCACAGAGAGGAGGTGTGTTATACCGCTTCACTCCCTGTGCATATTCCAGTGATGCATGATGACTGTGGTTCTACAGTTTTCACCTTTAAAAATGTCTATAATGCAAACTCCTCTGTGCACAACCACAACCACAATTTTCTTCTCTGTCTTACAAGAGTTGCAATTTCTGGCAGCCACTTATGAAATACAAAAATGCATGTGATACCTGTTGTACATTTTGTGCTGCTATCAAAAAACATGGCTGTGCAGGATGGCAGCCTTTATGGAAAAGGGGGGGGCACTCCATTATAGATATGAAAGTCACATTCAAAATTAACAGAAATTATTTCGAATTAAATGTTCTGATGAATATTTTATTCCATTTCATTGAAGACTATTAGGCCACATGCGACTACATAACACACACAGCGTCTTGAACTGCACCGGTGATTGTGAGTTTAAAATTAATAAATAGTTTCTTCATCTGATAGAAATTATGGCGGACAAAACAGTCTTCACCTGCCTTATTCTCTACATGCTGAAGCTGTGGCTTTTGAGTTGCTCCTCACACTGGCTTCAGGCTTTAAAAATGATGATATAAAAGTCATCAGTCTTGTTACAGATGATCATGTTTGCTTAAGGATATCATAAAGAGGCACCAGTATGAGCTTGTTTGTTTCATTCATGTCAAAAAACTCCTTCACAGGAGCTTTAAATGTGTCCATTATTCCTATTTTATACATTTCAAGCAGGTGTTTGTCTTGAAAGGGTGACAGGACAGCTCTAATGTTGAGGCAAAATTGAGGCCCGTAGATGCATTGTTGAATGAAGTATTAGGGTCGCATTAAAGAACAGAAAAATATTTAACAAACAAAATCATAAATTTATGAGAATTAGGTAGAAATTTTGTTAATTTAGACCACTATAACCTATACTTTTAACAATAAGAGGAGCAGCCAACTGCCTGACTTTAAACGGTTTCATCCAGTGAAATTAAACATCGGTACAGCTTGCTCAAACATCTTGAATACTCAACTATCTGGCACATATGCATCACAGAAGTCTCAGGATTTAAAGAAGGTGCATAAAAAGCATGTTTTCAGTGTCAGAGCAGTCTAACAAGCAACTGGAGAACACTTCTGCTACCTCTGTCTTTACTAACGTTCAGATATTCCCCTTCAGAACAAGAAAGAGGCTAACTGTAGATTAAAATTACACTAAACTGTTTCGTTATCAAACAGCACAACTCAAACATTGCAGTAGACTGTTTTATGAATAAATAACACCAGTAGCTGCTGTGTAATTCAGTAAAAAACATCTGCTACAAACTCTTGATAGATGCTTAGTTGTTTAATTGTTACACAACATCTCATTAATTCCATGTAACAAGGAGAAACTCCAAATACAAAAATTAATACAGTCTCTAATAACACTTTGATGATCCTCTGCAGTTTGGACAGAACTCTTCATTTCTATGGCGGCTAACCCGAGCTTACTGTGACGTCCACGACATCAGTTCGATTGTAGAGGAGAAGAAGACTCATGCAGAAACAGGTAATCTACTAAACTGTGTGTTTTACCTCAAAGACCAAGCCTTCCTCTCTGAATGTAAAGGTGCTTAAATGACCTTACCACAACTGTTTTACTGCTTTAGTTTTAGTGTATTATCTGGGAAACTCAAATCCATGCAGGTCTTTATTCCTTAAGTGTCCCCACTTAGACAGCTTGAGGTCTTGTCTCACAACACATATGTGACATATCAAGACGAGTAATAGCTGAAGGCTCTGATGGTGGACTCATTTTTAACACAAAATCATATGATCAGTTTGACCAGAACATTTTCACAGAAATATTCAATGAAAGATACCTGTGCAGGTGAGACATGGAAAATGTCTATCACCTGGCCAAACACTGAAATCTAAAAGTCTGAACAAATGTGAAAAGGCTTTTTCTGACGAAGTCTAAATCAAATATTTTCATGCACTGTTGTTATCACAGGGTTGATAAGAGAGTTTATTCTTGAGGTCAAGCTCACAGCAGAACTTGGCTCTCTAAAATCAGGTATAAGCACTGTCTCATGTTACTCTTTGAGACTTTGCACAGTAGACTATAATGTTTTTTGTTTTGAACAGAGGCAGTTTTGTGACTCTACAAAAGTGGATTGACCTGTTTCTCTGTAATCCTTCTTCATCAATGTGCCTCTGATCAGAGCCGGCCAGGTGCTCTCTTCAAAGACACCTGTGTAATTGACACGTGGATATTTTAAGAAGAAGGGCATCATGTTTAACATTCATTTAGGTATTAATAGAGCAGATAGAATGGAGACGCTCTGCACTGAGTGATGAAGGATTTAATACTGAGCCCTCTGCTTGGATTGCATTTCATACCACTTCTGTTTTCGTTGCTTTTATCCGGTGCCCGCTTTCTTGTTTATCCTGTTGTGTTTTCTCAGTCAACACACCGCCTAACTCTCATGATCCACACTCTCTTCCTCTGTCCTGTGAACAAGACTGTCCACAGTGAGTGCTGTGTGTGTAATTAGTGTTTCAGTGGAGCATCATTATCTCTTCTCTGTCTTTATCTCTCTTCTCAGGGAAGAAAATTGGCGAGGAGGCGGTGGGCCTGAACCCTACATGTGCTGACAGTCATCAGTGGTAGGTTTGGCTCGTTTCCTTCGCTCTACAAGCCATCAATTAAAAACAACCCCAGTAAAATCCTCTGAGCTTAAACTTTACAAGAAAACAGTCAGTGACTATATTTACATGCTCATTAGTGTCTCTGTTTTGAGCTTTATCTCGGTTTCGCTCTTATTTTGGATACATTGTTCACATGGAACACGAGAGCCCTGATAATCCATATCTCTGTAGACATGTTAATCACATTATCCAGGTTTCTGATCAGCTGTGGCAGATCAGCGTTTATCTCACACCATCTCAGTCTCTATGTTCCATACCAAAATAGAATGATCAGAAACTCAAATCTGGTGTTTAAAGGATTAAGTATCGCCTCGTTTTGCAACCCGAGCGTAACAGATACCATGTCCAGTGACCGGGACAGAAACTTTTTGGGGCTTGGCTGACCTCAGGGGTAGGTGTGACTTACTCTCTTAAAATCTGTGATCAGTCAATCCAAAGGCGTAAAGGAAAAAAACAATCTGAATGAGAGTTTGAGAACAATTTTCGTTGTACAGTACAGTATACATACTGTTTTTGAAATGTTTAAAATGTCAATGATGACAATAGACTGATTATTGTAATGTTATTTATGATGTAAGGGAGTCAGTGTCAATACCTAAACATAGCTCTAGATTCAGCCTACACCCTTTGGTTACCTCGTAATATGGAGTTTTGTCCTTGGTTTATCTTTTGTGCACACTAATTAAGTCTAAATAAGTCATAGAAGGTGAAATCCATCAACGTAAACGGGAAATCTGATCGGATACTGTGCCTCATGACTGTTTATTTGGAATGAATTGCTCTGTTGAATAAATTGAAAGCCAGACTTGAAAAATGTAAAGCACAAAAGTGTTTGAAAACACACACAGGAGCCTTTTTACATGCGTGGGCGACACAGACTATTGATGGTAAGCATACCTGGGCAGTCCACCCAGGCATATAAAACAAATATAAATGGCTTTAAAAAAATAAAAAGTATACTTGTGTGACCACCATTGTAGGTCTTAATGGAGTTTTTATAGATCTGCACTTGTCTTGGTAACCTTTCTGCAGATAATCAGAGGTAAAGATGTCCCCTGCTATCTCTTCTTCAATGCAGAAATTACACTTATGTCCAGTGTTAGATGTTCACCTACTAATGGTGATGTTTCATTTGCTTAGTTTTGCTCCTTTATTCATTACAAGCTGCCCTACAAAAAGCTCATCCGTCTAACTGTTGCATTTGCATCACTTCACTTCACAGTTCGATCTGTAGCGTTCACTGAACTCACTGTAGTTCTGTCTTTGAGGAGCATTTCTCTATCTTGCTGAAGTTTCCTCCTCTGTTTGTCAAACTGAAACTGAAGCGATAAAAATTAACACCAACCAATCAAGAAAACTAAAAGAAGCCATATGTTGTTAAATTGACTTACTTAAGCTTTTATATTGACAGTATGTGGCTTGTTTTGGTTGAACCCCATCGTGTGAATCACCTGGTTCAGTTCAACTTCCTCGGTTATGAAAGCACAAACAGGTACTTTCCCCAGATGAGAGGTGTTGGGGGGGGGGGGGGCTTTGAGTGACGTGTTGTTCAGGAGCAGCTGTTCCTCACTCTTTAAGTGGATGTTTGACTCATGCATGGCTTTGGGGAAATTTACTAGATGTACTTTGAAGGAGTCCAGAGAAACATTTCAGAAAGCCAACAGCAGAAGAAAGACTTTGTGAAATGATCTGACCAAACTGTAGACTGTCAAAGATGAGCGTTTCTGCCTGCAGATGTGCATGTATGTGAGATAACAGCAGCTTGCTCTGCAGACCCCCCCAACCTTCGATAGCATCACTTTCAGTGTGAGGAATGTAAACACAGCCCAGGTTAACTTCACCTTGATAGACTGACGGTGTCAGTGGAATAGCTCTCGTGATAAATGGTCTGTTTTAATTGCAGTTTCTCTTCCTGTATGTTGGTGGTTGCTTCACACTGAGCGGAACTATCTAACACTTTAGATATTAAACGCTCAAGGTCATGCTGGTGAAACATGTGGTGGCAAGGTATGCAGATTTCTGTCAATACCCAACCAAAAGAGTATATTTATGAGACCTGATCAGAGCAACTGATATGATGGATTTTTTTTCCCTAAAATAAAAACCACTGAGGACTAATTCTGGGTAGACTGTACACCGTTTTGTACAAATATGTCTGTGCGAAATGGTTCAACGGTTTGTCTTATCCAGTATCTTAAAGGGACATTTCAACATTTTTGAAGTGAGGTTGTTACATGTTATTGGTAAGTGTATTAGCCACAATGGACCCCGGTCAGCTTAGCCCTTTTAATGAGAAACTGCCACTTGACATACTACTGTTTTCTGTTGACAGGGTTAACTCTGCCACTTAACTTGGCTAATTTTTAGGGACTCTAATCCAAGCACTCATCCCAGTTTAACTGAGCGCTCTCTAGACAATGTTCAGCACTTTGCCATCAGACAGCCCTTTTTTTTGCATTATTTGAAAACAAACACTCTATGTGCTCTTAGTTACGTGGCAGAGCTGAACCTGTCTGCTAAATATGGTGGCATACTAGGGCTGGGCGATAAACCTTAAATGTACCGATACTGAAATTTATGACAATAACCCATGTCATTTTGCCCATAACGGTATATTCAGTGTCAGAGAAATAAATAAATAAAAGTTGGTTTTAGATGTGTGTAGGTAGGCTATGGTCTCATGTCCCTTTAAGATGCTGTCCTACATCAGAGACGTGACTCCACCCCATCCAGTCCGTAACAACGAGGGACAGACAGGTGAGGAGATGGTGACGGTTCAAAAGTTGGAGCGGCTGAAGTAGACAAAGTTAATGTGGGAGGGGGTGAGCAGCTCGTGGAGTAGTTATCGTCCACATTTATCATTATCCAGGTAAACTGCTCAATATATCGTGATTTTGACTTGAGGCCATATCGCCCAGCTCTATCACATACCTAGCGTCTTGTTTCTTCAGGAGATTTCTCATTAAAGGAGCTCTTAAAATGTAAGTAATCTGTAATGGTTTATATTGCTGTTGTTGGTGGACCGAGCTAATTAAAGGTTGCCATCTTTGTTTTGGTTTGTCAACCAATCAGAGGCTGTATCTGCAATCAGCTGACATGTTGAGGTCCCATCAAAAGCCAAATGATATCAAAAGAAATGCAACACTTAGACATAACTAACTGTTTTACTTGTATCCATTTTGTTTTGAGAGACTTAGAAGTTTCTCTCTCACATCGATAAAAATATAGACCAGGAATACACGGAGGAAGTAAGAGTAAGATCGAAGTCTTACACCCCATTTATTTTGTGCTGAGAGGAAACAAGAGACAGGAAAAGAGACTCACGGAATGTCAATGAGGAGAGGCTTTGATTTTTTCTGAGAAGACATAAGAGAAAAAAGACATCTGTGCAGCCAGGGTTTCTTTATTCTGGTCTGATGTGAAGAGGTCACAAAATTCAAAGCGCCATTCATCCTCTACAGAACACGACTACACTTTCAGTTTAAAGAGTCAATTTACTGTGCTCTCACATTTCTGGATGAACAAATTTCATGAAATTTCAGTTACTAGACTCAACCAATAATGAAATAAATGCATACAGTTTGTATTGTTGCTGAAATAAATATGTAGTTGAGCGATTTCACCATAAAGGAAAATCAGCAATAAGTTGACCATCTGCATCACAGTGTAAAATCTGACATCTTTTCATATTCTCGTTCTATAAGACGTCATCCAGGAGCTGTTGTGATGTTGCACTGAAGGCTGCACAGCCACAAGGCCAAACACAAAAATGCACAATTATTTCTATGATTTAATCTTATTAAAAATATGCCTGTTTTATTTGAAAGCTGTTAAGAAATCCCCTAAAATGCTCAAATTTGTGAAACTGATGATAAGAAAGGTGTTCAATAGTTTGCATCATCAGGGGGTCACCCTAGGAAAATCTTTAGCTTTCTCCATCATCTTTTTACATTTCCACTCCGGGAACAATTTCATTTTTTTTCTACAGAAACTGGAAAGAAAGGTCTGAAGAAACATTTTTGGTGCAGCTGTCTGACCCCAGTGGACACTTTATAATTGGTTGTGATTATCTTTCCGAATAATTCCGAGTCTTACACCAAGAAAAGGGGAATTTCGCTGCCTTAGGTCATTCTCAAACAAAGTGGAGAACCTCCTCTCTACTGGAGTACCTCCTCGGTTGTTCTGTGACTCAGGGAAAAATCCCCTTTGCTTTTAATTAGTTGTGCAGAGTGGGTCTGATGGCATGTGTCCCATTTGTATTTGTGCAGGCCCCAAGTAGTGCATTCCTCATCTGAAACAGCGCTCATGTCAAAACTTGACTGCAGATCATACATGGAATCCATGGCTGGGGCAAAGAGATGAAGATTGCACCAGAAGCAGCTCTGAGATTAGCTTGGGCTACTGCTGAGCTTTGAGAAGACTGCACTGTTCTGTATCCCAAAGCCCACTTTTAGATATCATTGTTTAATTTAAGGAATACAAGTAGAGTTGGCCATAAATAAAAGTTTCTTCACTGCACACTATTCATTCTGTTGATGGCATCCCCTGTGATCTTGCACTCTCCAGCGTACAAAATTTGTCATGGAAACCTACCATGACCCCCCTGCTCCAGCCCTGCTAGCGCTTTTTGTTGAGGAGTAATTAGCATTAGCTCAAGCACATACCGCAGCCCTCCAGACGTCAAATGAAATAGAAGGCTGTGTTTGTTTTGTTAATTAAGAGCAACAGCTTTAAAAAGCTTAATGCCTAATCCTATATCCACTGACGGAATTTGTAAGATTCTTAAAGCAAGCAGAAACGCCGTCTAAACCGAACAGACAGGCTAAAGTAGGTAAAGCTGCACTTTGAGCAGGGAGGAGGCAGGGACTGGGGTCTGTGCCAGGCCGTGTTGCAAGGAAGTTTATGTCTGAGGTAACTGTTTATTTAGTGTTCCGATGCCGTGAGAAAACTTGTCACCTGCCTTCCTGAATGCTGCTCGGCTCGTCACAGTTTGACAGATGTTGTTTGGACGCGCTGCCATTCATTTCTTGCTCTGCCACTGAAACTGCTCATAATTGATGGCTTTTCAAACCTCATATCTTCTCTCTTTTAACCCTTTAAAAGTATCAAGTGAACGCTGAGTGTGATTGGATGACTTAAACTTTCATTTCCGTGGCAGCTTTTCCAAACTTGCTGCTGTGATGGAAACAATGCAAGTTCAGCTCAGATTTGCATGCAGCACTCTGTAACAAATGCATCATGTAATAAGCACGACTGTAAGTGAATATATTCTGTTTAAATAGCATCTCCACATATAAATACCTGCAGGACCGCAGTTTTCTGCAAACTGTAAGCCACGGAGCAGGTTTCAGTCTGTCAATCTTTTTAACTTTGCAGCCAGATGAGAGAATGAAAGAGGAGGTGACACACTTCTCATCTGTCCATGCATGAAGAGAAGTGTTGCTTGATGTATTGTAATTAACACAATCTTTGTTGTAATGCATGTTTGTTTTACTCATTCACCCTGATCTCAGTGTTTGCACTTAAAAATGCATGAACATTTCCAGCTCAAAGTTTGAAAACAGTCACCACATCACACATCAACATCTCAATGTTACACCTAAAAAATACTTGCAAGTCTTTCAAAATGAAATTTCTCATAAATGTGTTCAAGTGTTGTTAAATTGTGCAACTTTGAAGAATATTTTTGTGGTCTACCACAGAAACCCAATTTAGTTTCACTCAGAAATATTTGAGTGACAGTTCAGCAGGTAGGGTGAGGTTGACTTCCTCAGAAACCTGCTCTGTTGTATCTGTAGCTCACAGAGTCAATCACTGATGATAGGAAGTATACTGAGTCTCTGTGAAAGGAATACACTTATTAGCTAGTTTGAAGTAGGACCCAGTATGTCTCATAAAGATTATGAAGCTTGTCTTCTCCTCTATCAGATCTCTTGGACTAAATATCTCGAGACAAAAAGAGTGCATATGCTCTTCTAAGTACCCCTTCAGGTGTATGATGGGGAAATAAACTCAGAATCAGACCCTCTAATGGGGAGAGAAAGATTCAGCCTCATTTTCAAGTTCAATGAAAGAAACCTCATTGCGGGCTTTACCAATTTAAGAACCAATTCTGTGCTGTTCAATTAAAGAATCAGCAATATGGGACCAGTTTTACTTTCAGAAAGATGAAATCACAGATGTTTCGGTTACTGTTAAACGGGATGAATTCAGATCTTTTCTTTAAGAACTTTGCACTGATTTGTCAGTGAAATAGCTAGCTCATAGTGGGATGCTTCCTGAAGCATATATCTTTAATGTAACAGGGTAATGCCTTGTCAAGCTATTCTAGTGTGAACTACCATCTTCACTCAGCTGATAACCTGTACTACATGCTGCAGATACTGCTGAGTCTATCCTGAGTGCTGCTGAAATAGTTTCACTTTTCGATCTAGATTTGTTTTTTAAACATTTGAGAGATACTGTTCCGTTTATTTAATGTACATTGTAAATCACTGTGGGCCCAGAACTGAACCTTGGGGTACACCTTTTATATGTTGCACCCCTGAGGAAGCACCTTTGTACTTTACAACCATGTTTCTGGCAATCAAATGATCTGAAATAGTAACCTATCACCTGATAATAACCTGAAAAGAGAACAGATAATATAAAAAAATTAAATTAGTCCTCAAACTAACTTTTGTGGTAGTTAAATTACCTAAACAGCCCACCTGAGGGAAGTTTAAATGACAAAAATACTGGCATATACTGTAGCTTCCTAGAGGGAAAAAAAACAGATTTTGCTGCTTTGTGAGAAACAGTAGCATTGGGCAAACCTTTTGCACAGTGCATTCCTGAATAACTTTAAAAACTCTTTATTTTTTATTCGCCTGAAAACTCGGATGCTGTGCCATACTTACAAGAGTTAACATGCTAGCCACAACCTACCTGGAAAACCAGCAAATAAAGAATGCTGTAAATTGTCAAGTTAAGAGAGACCTTGGCATCATCACAATCAACATGTTTGATAAAAAACTGTGTTTTAAGGAGTGGAAGCTTTAAAGTAAACCTTTAAGAATTTTGTAATTCTGTAAACATCACAAAGTAAAAATAAAGTTGCACAGGTAAAGCTCGATGACCTCACAAACCCGGCCAGTTTTATTTGCACGGAAGGGGTTGTGGGCTACAGTTTTGTCACCATGAAGCTCGTCCTGTTGGTCTGTATTCACCTATTTATCACCAAGTCAATGCCCACAGTGAAAGACATCCGACTGTTATCATAGAAGCGGGGATTAGGCTAAATAACCAAAAGCTTTCACCCTATTAGAAACCGTTGATGTGCAGCTCCAAACACTGCGAAGCCCACACAGTCTGAAACACGCAGCATCTTCTCTGAGCCTGAGCCCTGAGCGCTGTTAAAAGACCTGGTGTGATGAATGAAGGTGATCTCTGTCTCACACTCATCACTTCTCTGGAGATTACACATACTTTCCCACTCTGTCATGCACCACATCTCTGTTCTTTTCCCAGGAGAGTGGATGAGGGCTCTTTTGAAGTTAGATGTGTTTTGGGGGCACTTGAGTCAAAGAGCAGCATTGTGATAGATACCATCAGCTTCTCCACAACTGTCTGTCACCCCTGAACTTTTTATAAATCCGTGCGCATGACGTGATGTCAGAGTGCACACTTCCACCTCTCAGCTCTCACGTTTCATCCTTGAAAAGCGAACAGCATAGTCGTGTCTACGCTGGGAACAGTAGTCCTCTGCTAAACCAATGTGCTAACATCTATCGTTTAATTCTCTCTTCATTCTGTTGTATTACTTTAAGTTTGAGTTATCAGCTAAGCAGTGAACACATAAATCAGTTAATCAAGCTGCAATGTGACTTTTTTCTACCTGCGTTTCATGTTTTTTGGTCCAGCACTCACCCAACTTTGGGCTGCAAGGATGTGCATGTTTTTTTTGTTTTGTTTTGTTTTGTTTTCCATTTTGATTCTCTGTATTCACACATGCACAAAGCTCTTAAAATGCACCAAAATTATCAGGAAGGGCTGCATGTGTGAATGCAGACAGTCCCCCTCTAATTTCATGTAAATTATATTGTGTTCAATAGTCACAACTCAATTTTCATTGTTGCTCCACAATATCCCATTAAAAAGGAAAAACCCAATCAAAACTGGGATACTCAGGTCCATGAATATGCAGTTAATGATAAAAAGGCCGAAAATGTATCTTATGGGGCGCATCACACCGAGCACAAGTAAACTCATCTTCTCGCTTAATTTGCGCCAATCTAGACCAGTGAATGAATTGTATACTCGCTTCATTCGCGTGTCTACAGTAATTTCAGCGGTAATCCCTGCCAATTCCACCGGCGGGATCAAGTGATGGACAAGGTTTTTTTTACAATTTACCATGTAATCGGACCTCCTCACTCATTTGCCTCCAGGCGAGCTCCTTTTTATTCGGTTTTGGTATTTGAAAGAAAAGGTATCATATAATTCGGGGCACCCACACACTGACATGATCAGTTTGTCCTCCATTTTAGATACCAGTGAACAACCGTCTTTTTTTATACATCACCCGGCATCCTTTTTGCCGATTAGTTATCATGACGCGAATATCCACTCAAGTCGAGACATATTCAGCTTCTGCCCAATTCGCGTCATTCACGCTGCCATAGTAGTGAATGATTTTACTCTCTGGTGTGTGGAGACAGTTAGTGTTAGACTCTTCTTCTCATACCATTCTGTTTAATATTTTACACCTTGACCACTATAGCACAACTTTACGTCCCAGTAGGGAAAACAGAAAATTTGGATTCTGTAAGGAGCATGTGTGAACAAGCAAGTTCAGGAAATTTTGGAGCAGGTTCATGATTAATCACACCGTATGCATACATTAGGTTACCTGAAGTGCTTTTGTGACGGGAGTGTGAGGCCTATTTGTTTTAATCTCAGCAGGCTGATGGCTGCTAGATGTGATTGCATTCTTGTATCGCCAGCTTTGTTTATAGGTGCGTTTCCAATGATCCCACCGTGTGAATTCGCCTCTGTGTAAATCCCCCACTGTAGGGCCTCTCTGATGGCACAAAGGCCAGCGGATTAAGCAGGAAGCCTGTGGCTGTGCTGGTCAGAGGAGGGGGAGGAGGATGGGGTCACTTTGACCTTTACAAAGACAAGTTTAATTTCGGACACGTGCCTCTGTTTGCCACCGTCATCATTAGTGTCACCGTGGCAACGTTCTGCTCTGTACCCAGTAGCCGTGGAAACCCTCCGTCCTCTGGTTCATCACTAGGGGAACACTTGCTGCAAATCCCACCCCCTGCTCAGAGAAAACACCATCAGCTCATCCTGTCTCACACAGGTTGTCCTTGGATTCCTTGAGTTCCTCCTCCTGTTCTTGTACAAGTTTTAGCCTGGACCCTCCCTGGCCCACTCTCTTCAACCAGCTCTCTATGTTTGGATTTGACGGCTGAAATCAATCTCCTGTTCCCGCCAAGCAGCTGACACTTAGGCCCTTTTGTTTTTGCCCAGTAGAGTGGGGGATTTCACTGAGCCGCAGAAACAAACAGGGACTAACCTTGCGCAATTAAGTGTTCCATCCGCCTGTCATGTTTTGCTGACGCCCACCCTTCCTCCTCCTCTTGATATTTCCTCTTTCTTGCCTTGGACGGTAAAGGAGAGATAGAATTTCATCTGAGAGAAGAAAGGACAGCATAAACAAGAGCAGGTTGGCCCCTGAGGCTTGGCACACCTCTCTACACCTTCACATCCTGGCTTCTTATACGTTCACTCACCTTGCCTGTCTCCGCCTCTCCTCCCCATGCCTGCTGTTGCTCACAGTGACAATAGATCTGTTACATAACTCTCAAAAACAAAACTCTGATCCTTCTTTTTGGATGTTTATTTTGTAAAATTATACATGGAGGAGGCAGAAGCAGTAGATCAGCTTTGACAAATCTTGGATTATCACAAAACGTCCCATCATTCAACGCTGCAATCCAGGTGCACAGATGAACCAACACTGTCTCAGGCTGGTCCAGTCATGACTGCTCAATAATATGAGAACTGATCAATCAGAGAGAGATAAATGAGTATAAGGTGGTAGCCTAAAAATTGAGCAATCTTTCCCACAGCCCTCACCTGGGCAACACTTGATCCAAATTATGATTCCTGTTTCCCTCAGGTATGTTGCACCAGTCACTCTCCTCTTTCAACCACTGTTAAGATTTATTGCATTTAATCACATCAGCATATTACAGCATGTTGGAAGACAGACAGGAGGGACTAGCTGGTTAGCAGAGCTCTGGAAGGAAGACTGCAGCAAGACTAACTTATTACCTCTTTAGAGACTTGTTGGGTTCATGAGGAGGGTATAGGGTGGCAGTGGCACAGCAGTAAAGCAGGTCATCGCCCAGTCAGATGGTTTGCGGTTTAATCCGAGCTCTTGGCAATCACATGCAAAAGTGTCCTTGGTTAACCACTGAACCCTAAATGCTCACAGTGACATAGCCAACAGTTAGTGAATGCATATTAAAGGGATTAGTTCAAAGTGGTTAGAAATACCGATCAGTCGGTCGGCATTTTGACGTAATCTGTATAATATCAGCATCAGTCCTTACAAGGCAAGGCAAGATGTGAGAAAATATACTTGAAATTAAAATGATTTGAAATCAATAAGACAAACAGATCAATTATTTATGATTAATTATGAAAACTGTCGTTTCCCAGAAAAATTAATTAAGTCGGAAGCTTTCAGACCCAGAGCTCCCCAGCTCCAAGACCTCAAGGCTGATACCACCAGTTTCTCTTCAAGTGAAAAACTTATTTGATTACATATTAAATCTAAAACAGTCACTGGCTGTTGTTTGATTTAATTCTATATTATAATTCCCTTATGGCAATTTTTCACTGAGCCAAGTATTTTCCCATCTAAACTGATTTAATAAAACATCTAGTTAAAGTCAGCAAGTCTGTTTCTCATGTGTTAGTGTAATTATTTAAAAATAAGAAGTGCAACAATGTGATATCGGCATTTTTTTATATGTAAACCATCAGCCAACCTGTTCCCTAATAATCAGTATCAGAATCAGCCACAATAATAATAATAACAACAACAACAACAACAACAACAACAACAACAACAACAGCAGCAACAACAACAACAACAACAACAATTATAATAATAGTCGACAACTATTTGAAAAAACAAGTCCAAATCTGTCTTCTATTTACAAGGACTACATAAGTCTTGGACACTTTGTGTATCAAATTAGGTTTTTAATGTATTTCAGTCTTATTCAAATAACAATTTTCTACACATGTATACAGAACTTGTAGGCATTAGATAAAAGTTTTCACAATGCAATTAGGGGTATGCAATTTAGGTAGAAATAATTATATTTGTGGGGATTTTTCAGATAATGATAAAGTTATTGGACATCCCTTTAAAACATGTTTTAAAATGATGTGTTTGCAAAGTCTTTCAATGTACCAGCTCACTTTTGTGGATTTGAATTATGATATAAACAACTTATTCAAGAAAAGCAGGCCTTATTTGTTAACGTAAACCAAGTCATTCAAGCACCGTAAATATATTTAAAAAACACTCAATCACCAAACCAAATATTGAGATTGAACAGTGCGAGTTTGCTAAGGGTTTTTTTGTTTTGTTTTGTTTTTCAGTCATAGTTAACCGCTGACTCCCAAAGCTCTGTGATGGTTAGTTCACAGATAGTTAAGAACTGTCTTTAACAGAAACCACAGCAGATCGTGGTCCTTGAAGCAACATACATCTCAGCCAGTTCACCTGTATGTCAGTGAAGAGGATCCAAGCCACTAATTAAATCATGCCAGTTTTGTGGCTGGTGGTGTTTGTTTTAGTCTCCTGGCCTGGGCTCTTTTATATTTGCTAATTTTCATCTTCAGGACATGCAGGTAACTAGTTGTATTAGGCCATCTGCCAGCTGGGGTTATAGCTCTGGGTAATGACTACTGCTTTAGTGCTATAATGCTCTACAACCCATATTTAAAACTGCAGAAGGTAATAAGTAGCATGTGCAAAGTTTTGGGTGTCTATTGATCTCGAAAATTAAAGCTGAATGTTGTTAAACTTGCATATCACTGCTCAGCTGGACTCAGCAAAGGCGGGTTGTGTGATCCCATATTTGTCTGTGTTATAGGGCTGTAATTTACCAAAGAAATTCTTGGTCGACTAAAACCCTGAAATTTTTGACCAAAAGTCAACTAATTGGGGGTGGGGGGGTGTCAGACTCTGACAGCAAACCCTTCTGTGACGGGGGACGATGCAGCTCAGCAGGGTGAAAATATTCTGATGTCAGCACAAGAAGGTACGAGGCACAAGAAGGCAATTAAACTTAAAAGGCAAGTTGAAACGCTGAAAATAAAGCTAAATATTTGGCAAACCACTACATGTTGATTAGCTTGGACACTCTTCAATCTTTCAGTTTCCTCCCAGTCTCCAGTTAGTTGGGTGAATCCAAAATGGGGAAAATAAGGGGGTGTTCCAAGGGGTACTCTGTAAATACCCCCATTAGCACTTGGTACGTTCCTACTGGGGAAATTAACCATAGACCGTAAATTGACACAGAAAAAAATTGAGTTGACCAGTCATAATTTTGGTCAACTCAGCACGTATTGACCAGTAAGTCAACCAGTTCACTAGGATTTTACAGCCCCACTGTTTTAGATAAGTTGTACTCAGTTTTGGTTGTTCTCTCAGTGTTTCCTTGCCATTTCACTAGTCTGTTACTTGGAATTCTACTTGTGTTCAGTTCTCTGAGAAGATCTGAGTCACTTTGGGACGAACCAAGAGAAAAAAAGCATGCAGAAATGCCCAAATTAGCCAGCAAATTCAAACCTAGAAACATCTTTTTGTCTCCATACCGTCATGCCTACTTAATAAAGAACCTATCTCGCATAACTACATGTTACATCTTGAACCCTAAAATTGGCAGGAAACTGGTGCTAATTTCAGTCTCTGGATATGGTGAAAGTTAGTCCTAAACAAAAATAGTGTACTGATTAAAGGGTTATCCATCCAAAATTTATGAACACATTTTGCTCTTGTGCAAGTGGGGAATTCTAGGAACGGTTTAATCAAGCTGTTGCATCAACCTGCAGATGGTACTGAACTGTTCTCACGCTACTCACTGGTTTGAATGACTGCGTTGCCTTTTCCTTTGAAGTCCTGGATTATCAGGATACTGTAATTGCCTCATCTGCATCAAATCTGGATTAAATTGTGGTGATGAAGCACAAACCAGCGTTGTTCTGGCTCTGTTTCCACCCAGAGGATCTTTAGTCTGACTGCTCAAAGCCTTTACATCCAGCAGTATGTTTTCATTGGAAGCCAGGCAGCACCACACCAGCAGATAGCATCTCTGCTCCTGTGATGTTGTGGAGCTCTTCTCTCATCGAGCGCCAACCAGCGGTAGTGCGGCCACACCCTGCGCTACCTTAAGAAAATAAACACGTCTTTTTGGTTACAGTTACACACAATTCTTCTGCCTTTGTTTGGTTTGCAGTGAAATTTAGGGCACTTAGAAATGATGTGGTTAGTGCTTGTCTATCACTATTAATTTCCACAATGCTCACACTCCCACACTTAATAGAAGTGATGACGGTTTGTACAATGATTAATGTTTGCGTGATGCTTTAGCGAATTACAACTGTCTGAATCATGTTTTCTCTTTGTGCAGACTGATGAGTTGATGTTTGGAAAAGTATCAACTCAAGGGAAATTGCCCAGTTTCTCTCACGACTGTGAGACAGATTCTTGCACCTGTATGGTCTTTATTCAGTAATTAGCAGCTAATCATGTCATAAAATTTACACTTTGCGAAAGCTCCCTGCTCTGGTTACGCCTGACCACAGTCCAGAGAGCCTCTACAGTAAACAGTAGTCCACCGCTGAATCATGCTCTGTTAAAAACTCCATTCACACATACAAGACACCTCTGTGCACAAGCGCACAACTCCAGATTTCATCTACCATCAGCACCACCATGTCAGACTGCGTTGTCAGATGACCTTTGTACACGCCGATCCTTCGTATAAAAGGTGTTTATGATGCTCTGCCATGTTTGACAAAGTACCAGCAGGATTAAAGCAGTCTTGCGGTGAAAAGTCTTTGATCAGGTCTTTCCTCTCCCTTCCAGATCCACAGCGTCACGCTGGCTTACAGATCCCAAAGCTAAAACCGCTCTTTGTCTCCCCTCCACCTGCCCACTGGTCCAAGTCGGTGTCTTAATTAGAGAGTGAAGGAGGAAGGTGAAGCAGCTTATCTCTGCTGATGTTGTTTAATGAGGATTCTCTCTTTAAAGGGACGTGTTGGTGTTTCTCAGAACTTCCTTCTCATTGTTAGTGACCCAGAGAAAAGGAGGTGCTTCACCATCCTTTCTGCCCAGCTTTATTAAACATCACAAGAGAAAAGTGACATGATTAAAACGTTCTCTTTTTGCTCACTAACTAAGGAGTATTTTACAGTGATAACATTGTAGATTGGTCGGAAAGTTCTTGCATACAGTAGCTCTGCTGTCACAAACAATTTCTAACTTTATTTGGAAAAAAAAAAAAAAACAAGTTTCAAGAACCAGGAATTTATGCAGTCTGATCTTATCGTTGAAATGTGTTTGGATACTTAAAGGGATACTACAGTGGGGTGACGCAGCTCAAGGAAGAACATTTATGATAATTTTTTCATGGAAATGCAATCAGACCGAGACGCCAAGGCAGAAGACCTACCACGTCTGCAGTGCAAAATGATTAACATGATGATTATTACTTCAAGGAAATGATAAAGAAATGATCATAAATGTTCTTCCTTGAGCTGCGTCACCCCACTGTAGTTCGTAACGGACTGGCCTGAGGTCTCGCTTCCAACAAGCGGCTGCTGGAAGAGAGTGGGTGAGTTGTGTTTAGTCTCTTTGCTGAAGAAATTAGGCAAAGTTAAAAAGATGTTTGGTGGCTAGTGCTGTGGCTGGGACCCTATATATACTGTTGATGCAGTTCTGAGCATTATTTGTGGCTATAGAGTGGCGTTTTGGTTGAGGTTTGTTTATGGCTCCATAGTCCGCTGTGTATTGCTATCGTGCGGTCGTTACTAAAGTTAGTATAACTAGAGAAGCAAGTGATCGGCAACATTCATCTCTTGAGGGGGTGTCCAACTCTGTGTTACGGTGTGTTTGAGCCTAAATTATAGCTGGAATATCCCTTTAAAGACCTATTGTGCAGATCCAAACATCTATGCATACACTGGAACTATCTCTGTAGGGGCATTTGGTAAATTGTCCCTTTAAAATAAAAGATGATGGTCAAACCCCCAGAGTAGTAACTGCTGTGATCAGTGCAGTTGAAATCTTGGTGGCTGCGACAGAATGTCCTCTAGCAGCCCAACAGCCGCTCACCTCCCCCTCCCTCAACTAATCATGCCATAGAATAGGTGGCACTGGTGGCAAAAATATACAGAGAAAACAACACCTCCGCATGCGATAGCTCCGCTCTCAGCGCAGATGTTGACATGAGTTGATTGGAGCTGCAGCTGGACATGCTTAGTGACATCTGCAGGATTCACCATCTCACTACTTGCTCCATGCACGATCAAAGGGAGTTTTTTAGCTGAAGTGGGATTTTAGGAGCTGCTCACCGAGCCTGAATAGACAAGTCGATTTGTATTGGGCAGCAAAATTAAAGGAGTCCTGTTGTCTGAGTGGAAATATGAATTAGCTAGTCTTCTTTTTCATGCTCTTGAATTGCCACCTGTTGGTATTATTGGTGACATAGCCTTTCAGGGCGTCCAAAAACAATTTTTACATGTATTTTTTATTTTTAAAAAAGCGTTTTTATTCTAAAAAATTCTACACAGGAACAAGTATTTCATTAACCATTGGCATAAGAAAACATTGTGCCCCACCCCCGATTTATAGAATTGGGGTCTTTTTTCCTATTCATTCTGTTTTTCAAAGAATTTAGAGTTTTGAATTTTAAAAAGGTTTTAAGTTGCATAAATCAAAATATTTATGTATTTCTTCCTAAAATTTCAGCTCTTTATTTGAGTACAGCAGCCTGTATACTGTCCCTAGTGGTTAGTAAGAGGAACTGTTTGTGTTTGCTCTGAGGGACGTAAGTGGGTAAACAGGGCCTTCTGCTGAAAACAATGAAAACTACAAATTTAATGCCAGCCTTGCAAATTGAATGCATTTTGTCAAACATTGCTTTTTTTTCTTCATTCCTTCATTACTATTATTATTTGTTTAATGTCAACTCTTATTTACTCTCATTGACATGTTATTCTAGCGTAATTTTTGTACGCTAAGTGAATGTTGTTTCCTGACACTTATAGAAATTCTTACCTTCTTGCAGCAGTAAAATTGAACCCTTTTTGGTTTCTTTAACATATGTTTTCTTAAAAAAAGGTTAATTGGGTCCTATGTAATTTCTGTCTGCAAATCGATTCACATGCAGAGAGCAAAGACGGATGCTTGTTGACTAATCAGGCTAATATTGTGTCTCCACAGGTATGCCATCATGTGTGGGATCATGGCAGAATATGACACAGTGCAGAACAAGATAAAGAACGGATACATCTTCAAAGTGAGTCGTTGTATAACACAGAGAAGAACATGTTGTGTCTACGACTTGATATAACTTAAAATCTAAACATTATGCGGATCCTGTGTATACATTTTTCATACATACTTCATGCAGGTATAGCTTTTCCCATGAACTAAGAATAGAGGGGACCGGCTCCACATATCACTTAAGCTGCTAAGCCACTCCTACAGACCTTTAGTTGCAGACAGAGTGTGGAACAACGGCACGTAGCATTTTATCTTCTGTCAGCGGCTCCCCCCAAACACTGTGTACCTGCAAAGCCCCTGACAGGTGAAAGAGACAGAGATAGAGTGCTGGAGTGGGAAGATATGAAAGAAAAAACCCTGAATCAGAGCGAGGGAGAATGGAAAAGAACGAGGGAGGGTGTGTGTGTGTGGCAGCCGGGAGTGTGTGGTCGCTGGGTGAGATTGCGTGTGTGAGAGGTGTTTGTGAAATAGTTGTGGGTTGGTGAAGCAGGACAGATCAGGTCAGAACAGAAAGCAGGGGAAACAGCAGCCGTGTCATGAATCAACTGTGAAAATCTTCTCCCTGACTGTCTGTCTGCCTGCCTCTCTCACAGGATCATCTGGATAAAGCCATCGAGCTGAAGCCACAAGACCCCCTGTCCTACTACCTGCTGGGCCGCTGGTGTTACGCTGTATGTGATATCTCTTCCATCTGTCTTTATGTAGACAAAGAGTAAATTTATGGAGGCTGACATGTCTGCATGGCCTCCCACCTCTCTCTGCAAACCCACCCACCGCTTCCTCTTATTCATTCCTACTGTTTAGCTTTCCCCGAGGTTTGTTTTCCCCTCTGCGATATTTGTAGAAGGCTCTACGGGAGGTTAACACCATCCATTGTTAGCTCTAAATCAGATCGGACCAGAGAGATATTTTCATCCGGTTACTGTCCGGCTCATGTTCCAACAATGCAGACCCTGACTGATCACCACTGGTGTTTCTGAAAGTAAAAAATGTGCAGATAAAATACGAGCGTCCAGAAACACATTCTGTTGTTTCAGGAGCTTTTTATCCAACAACTCGGTGCCACTTGTCATCCTGACCGCATGAAAGAAAGGAAGGAAGCTATTACAAAGATTACTCTGATAAATTTCATACCACTCGCCTTCACTGTTAGGAGAAAAGAAATGAGGGACTTTGCACATGTAGCGGAGCGGCAACACCTGATATTTCCAGGGATTGAGTTTTATGGGCTGTCTGTGGTGCGTCCACGTTTAACAATGATCTACTGTTTGTACTCAGCCAGCAGTTCTGTTTCTGCGATGACGCCAAAGCAGTGCTACACCTGCAATTAGACACAGCTTTGATGAATGGTGCGAGGCAGGAACATTACATGTTTGACCCAGACTCTCCTGGCCATAATCATCTACTCTGGAAAGTATCAGTGTACAGGCAACCCGTGGTCATGGAAATACAGTCAAAGTCACAGCTAGGAACGAGTCTTGAATAGAGGCAAAGAGAAGTTATTTTTAATAGAGCCCATACCCATAAATCAATTATTTTAAACACCTAACATGCAGTCGGAAAAAAAATAAAACCTTTTCATGCGTACATTTTCCATCGCAAGAGTGTGCTCGGGCATGATCTTCATAGTCATTAAAAAGGTAAATGTAGTAGAGCTGCCACCAAAAAGACAACCCAGCAGTGAATGAGAAGAGTCCTGGACAGCTGACCTTCAACTTTATCCTGGAAGCTTTGTTTTGTGTCTCTTGATACCATAGGAGTCTTTTGAGTAACATTTACATGCTTATACAAAGTTATCCAATGTGATGTCAGCTGTCACAGCTCAATGAAACCAGAGATTTTTAATCCAATCTCCAGAGAACCAAAGCTCGCAGTAACTAAACTGGACTTTTAAAGTACATGTAAGCACATTAGTCAGGCTGAAATTGTACTATTGAACTCCTCAAAGTCGGACTTTCTTTCTAAATGATGCGGTTGGGGGGATCGATATTCTCTTGCATGTATACTCCACATGACTCTAAACCATAAGACAACATTACAGCTTGAACTAGAAACTTCTGGACCAGTAAAGTCTATTTTTTATGATTAAGATTTTATTGGATTTTTTAATATCGTACATTGCAGGTACACATGTGGCAAATGTTGTAAACATTGACTTGTGTACAGAAAGTAAACAAGTAACTATATTATACAATGCGTACAATCCAGGAAAGAGAGAAAGAAAAATAACAATCTAACAAAAGATAAAACAGGACATAATAAAAATACTAAAAAAAACAAAAAGAAATAACTATAAAAAATTGACCAGTAAAGTCTAAAGTAAACAATATAAACAATGTAGCTTTCACTTTCACTGCAGAGTCACAGGTTAGAAACTAAAGTCAGACATACACTGTGGGAGTTCAAGCCAGGCTTTGTTGACACATCAGCTGATAATTTCACTTCAGCTTTGTTTTAAAAGTCTTATTTTATGACTTCAGCTTCTGCCCTTAGGAGTTTACAATAACTGTTCATTTAGTCACCAGAAAAGATGATGATAGATTTCCATCAGAGACCTTTTTTTTTCCTTGACAAAGAGGAGACAACGAGGAGCTTTAGATTTATCACTGATCACACTAACTTTATGCAAATGTTAAGGTTAGAGTTATCAACTCAAACAACTTAATTTAACTTTGATGGGGAGCTTCATCGTCACAAAACTGTTCTAAGACACCTCATCAAATACAAATGTGTATCGTCAGGCCTGTGAGTCAACGACTGCTTTCAGTGTTCAGCACCCTGGTAGCAGAGGAAACAAAAGAGTTTGAATATCTGTTGTTTTTCCTCAAAGTAGGGAGGTTTCTCTGAAAGAAAGCTCAGACGATAGTGGTCTGAGTGGTCTGATTATTTATAATTCCTTTGACTTTCTGGACCATCCATTTTTTCCTCAGAAAGCTTAAATCCTTCATCTGAACAGCAATGATCCTCTGACAATGTGACTCAGACTGTTGTTGTCCTGGATGTCTAACCTTAAACAGATACAGTACATGCTGAACATTTGTCCAGACAGCAATCGTTCTACTCAGTTTAAACTGCTTTTCAAACAGATTTGAAGTAACCTGATATTTGAGATTTGACTAAAGGTTTTTGATGTTGTGCAGGTGGCTCAGTTATCATGGATCGAGAGGAAAGTGGCAGCTACCTTATTCGGGGAGCCCCCTAGTGCTACAGTCGAAGACGCCCTGAAGAACTTTCTCAAGGTACTTTGATTCAGTCATCATTCACAGCACCGTGTTTACACATTCCTCATGTATGCCAAACACAACCTAGCTCTTTACAAGTGTCGTCAATGTCTGAATCCAGAGTGTTTGTAGTGGTTTCACACCACATTAAAATGTACCATCAAAGCCTGCCATCAAAGGGAGGTGTGAGACCCGGCAAGTTTTACAAATCAAAGGTATTCAAGCTGCTGTTAACAAGTGATTGAAGTAGATGTGAAGAATGAGTTCAAATGCCGCATATTTTATCACCTTCACACCTGGAGAACATAGAGGTGAGACTTAGGGACTTTTGGTTTCAGAGGCTGACGATCCACCAAGCACTTAAACACGCTTCTCCTCGGCCCACGCGACACACGAACAGTTGAAATAGAAATGTAGCTTATTCTTGTTTTTATTATCCACTCCTAAACTTGAACTCTGATTAATAAGCCCTTGTTAATGAAACATGTTTGCCTAGCGCTCATTCACAGTTGGTCTACATGTCGCTCATATTCCCGGTTTCCCAAGAACAAGCGCTCTGTATTTAAAGAGGCTTAATCTGTGTTCCCAGATGTTTATATAGCAGAGGAATGAAATGTGCTTCTGGCCAGTATTCCTCTGCACGCCTCTTCTTCGTGTCTTGTGTATCTCATCCATCAGTTTGATATAAGAGGTCCCTGTTGCAACAAGTTGCTGGTGACCTGGGGATGGCCCACTGTGAGGCTGTAGAGCTGTAACCAGTACATCCTGTGGGGTTAAACTGGTCACCAGCCTGTAACCACTGGTGATTAGTGTGTCTTCAAAGCAGTGATTATACAGGTCCCTGTCATCGAACAAGTCATTAGACATGTCTTTAAGCCTCCTTTAAGCGGTTTAGCTGCAGTTATAATAGTTCTTAGTCTTAAATATCAGTGGTTATAAAGGTCCTCCAGCCTCAAACAGGTCACCAGTTCTCTCAGGTCATCTAACCATCAGATATACAGGTCCCTGGCCTCATACCTGGGCTTTACTCAGATTCAGATTTAGATTCGGACAACTTTATTTATCCCCTAAGGGCAGTTCCGTTCACAGTTACCCTGCCGTTTGATCCATCCAAACATACAAATCAGCAGACAAACAAACCAGACAAGTGCAAGACATTCATAGCAGCCAGTAGACAACCACATTCCCTTGTCAGTACTAACAGATCAGCAGGATCAGCAATAAATAGCTAAATAAGTACAATAAGCAGTCAAGTTCCACAGAGCAATGGTTAAAATACAACAAGATCCACAAGTAAGAGACACAAGATAAGAAATAAAACACTCCTGAAGCTCCAGTTCAGCACCGGTCATCATATGACCATCAGCCTACTTCCTGGCATTTAAAAGCCTGAAGGCTTATTGGCTTATTGGTCTCGAACCAGTGGTTATACATGCTCCTTTGCATCAAACTGGCCACCAAATGCCTAAAATGTCATTTTCAGGACCAGTCTCCACCAGCAGGTACTAAAGCCTCCAACCAGTGGTTTTACAGACCCCCTAGTCATTTTCCAGGTGACTGATTCCCTTGTATCTTGTCAGAGGCTATACAGATCCCAAGCTGCTTACCCCTAAATCCCTCCAGCCTCTAGTTTTTCTATACATGGAGCACAACACATCAAACGGCACAGGCAGTGTGCGAGAAACAGGAGTCAGGACACTGAAACAACATTAAATTAACAGTTAATGTTCAAAAACACTTCAACATTAGATTGAATTACACTTAACTGCAGCAACAAACCATTGGGCCTGGGTTCGAGGTTCGCAAAGCAGAGGTAAAAAGCCACAAAGTGTGTATTTAATATATTTCAAACCTCCACAGACCTCTAACCTGCTTCATGCTGCTCCTCAAATTTCTGGCCAGTTCATTCAGTTCAGTCTGTTTTAAAGGGGGCTGGGGTCATCTTGTTATCAGGCTCATAAATTGGGGTTATTAGAGTTGTAGTTAAAAGGTTCCTTAGTCTTGACTGAACTTTTACATAGGTCCCCTGGACCAGTCCGCTGATGAGTGATTAAACTGGTCCCGCTCCTCTGACCAGGCTCTATACAGATCTCATGGCTTTCTTACAGTCTTTTTACTGGACCCAGTGCCTGTGATCAGTCTTGTACTGATCTCCTAGCTTGTAAGTAATAGTTACCAGGGTCTCCAGGCTATAAACAGTGGTTATAGGACTCTTTAGCTAGAACTAGTGGTTATACAGGTCCACAGACCTCCAAACAGTCATTACCCATGTCCTTGGCCTTTAGCAGGTGGTTCTCAGTACCTGACTGACAAGTGGGCTGTTCAGATTTTGGTTTCCGGCTTTTATAAAGATGCTGCTGTGAACCAGCATAACCATTACAGCTTCATTTTAGAGTTTTGTTGAACACCTTTAACTTTTTGTCTCTTTAAGCTGAGAAAGAAACTTTTTTTTTTTCATGCAGGTTGAGGAGCTCCATCCAGGATATTCCAAACTCAATTATGTATTTCTGGCTAAAGTAAGTACCGTTACTTATGGGACCACACTGTGCTCTGTCCTGATGGAGAGACAGAGCTTTGATTGTTATTTGTTTCTTTGATATCTTTGGCAGTGCTACAAAGACCTTGGGCAGAGGGAGAGGTCCAGGAAGATGTGTGAAGCTGCGTGTTCAGTGAAAGCTGTTTCCAAAGAGGTTAGACATCCTCACTGTCATTCTCAAATACGGAACATGAAGTAATCTCATTGCAGCAAGAAATTTGACACCTCAAACAAACATTTTCTCACCTTTTTTAAAATATTTATATATATATATATATATTTCCTCAGGATGAAGAGGCGCAAAAAGAGCTGGACCTACTCTACCCGTCTCTGGGAGTGTGACCACAGCGGCAGATGATGTACTTCCAACTAGCTGCTGACGACGTATGTGTGTGAGTGTGTGTGTGGGTGTGTGTTTTAAGTGTTTATTTAGAAGCCATCATATTTCACTCTGTGAGTGGATGGAAGTGTGCTGTGGCATCATGTCAGCTATGGAGACAAAAGCTACCACAGACTGAACCGTCCTCTGGGTTTTTAAATCAGACTTTTCTTTTTGTCATTCTGTTTTTAAATTTAAACAAACTTTTTTTTCTTTTTTTTATCTGGTTGTGTTAAATCAGAGCTCTTAAATTTTCCTGTCCTCTAGAATAATACAACTAAAATGGGATTAATCGTAGCTTTTAGTAGCTTTTCTTTTGATACATACTGTTTGTATATCTTGACTGATGTGTTTGCTGGAGCATGTAGTAAACACAAGCCTGTCTCTAGGATACCAGGTTTCCTGATAACTTGTCACTCAAAAGGGAGAGGACTTTCTGTTGTTCTCCTTCTGTCCTGTTTTCTTCTCTGTTTTTTTGTTGCGTCTCCAACGAAGCATTCAAGAGGCAATAACAAAATATCATCAGACAATGGTGCACCCAAACAAGGTTCCTGGAATGCCGTGACCACAGAGCGATGTCTTTACCCTGCCTTGGTTTTATTTCTGAGGAGTCATTTTTAAGACATGTTTTATGATGACCTTTAACACTCTTGAAGAAATTAGCTCGAAAACCATGTTGTTAAAAAAATAAAGTACAACTCCAGTCGCAAAAAAAGTTCAGCTATGTAAAATGTTGGGAAAAAAAAAAAAACTATTTGGTGTTCTTTTTAAATGATTAGAAATTTCATGCAAAGTACTGCAAAGACACCATATCAAATGTTGGGATATTTGATTTTATAGTAGTGATTTTGAGCCCATGCAGTGATTTCCACTACAGAGTCATGCAGCCCTGCTCTGAGATTGTTGACCCATTTGTTATCACGGGCTCTCACAGAGTGGTAAAACTCTTCTCTTTACTTTGCTTTAGAGTAAACCCTCTCTGGTGTGTCATTTTAATACTCAGTCATGTGACTCATCCGTTGAAAATTTACCTTATGTTCCTCTCTGTGTTTTATCTATTAGTGTTTCGCTAACCATGCCCTAACTTTGTAAAAATTTTGCTGATTTTAATTTTGAAATTAGGATATGTTTTTTTTTGTTGTTTTTTTTTATAAAACCACAAAATTTTACAGTTAAAACATTTGATGAGGTGTTTTTTGTTCTATTTTCAATTGAAAGTGGGTTTAAGATGATTTGCCAACCATCACAATCGAGTTTTATAAATATTTTACACACTTTTTTGGAATTAGGGTTGTACATATAATAATTAATTTTTTTTTTGCTCAGTTTAGGATCAATTCAAGGTCAAATTAATGTTAAAATCATAGAGATTGAGACCATCTTTTACAAGAAAATTTCACAGCTAAATGTTTAAGTCATTAAAGAACAAATAACATGATGTGTAGAAGGATGTGCATATGAGTGAAGTTGCTGAGGGAGAAATTTGAGAGCATTTTCTTTTCTTTCTCTTTTCTTTGTGTAACAGAGATTATAGGCTAAGGGCTCTGCAGAGGAATTATGTCGAGTTTATCAGAAGCTGTACATCATTTGGAGTTATGTGACGGTCACGTACTGTATGATTGCATTCCAGGTTAGACCATAGCACTGAAACGTGATACCATCAAGCTCAAATGATGTAAAACTGATATGTTTTGAATTTTTATGCATTCCTGATTGTTGCGGCTCCCACCCAGTTTTGTTAATGCAAACTGTACCAAAAAAAAATTTGAGGTTTTAGCTAATTTAAATCTTCAGATTTATTTTGGATTAAGTTGATTTTATTTAATTTGTGTAAACTCTAGAAGAGGAACTGTTCTTATTTATCACTTTATAGATTTTTCTACCAGCATAACGAATGTATTTGATTTTTTTCTAATGCCAAAGTGAGTCAAAATAAAGTGACACTTATATCACATCTGAAACACTACACAGAGATGATACTGTATAATATCTGGCAGGCGGTGAGCACTGAATGATGAATGGTACTGGAGTGTATAATTAAATCTGTGCAACAGTTTGTCATTTGTCTTGTGTGCTCGTTTGTTTTATTGCTGTTTATAAAAAAATACCCTCTGTAATTACTTACATAAGCTGTAACTTGCCATTAAAATGCTAAAAGATTTTTGTTATAAAATATATTGATTTCCGTCAGCAAAAATTTGACAAGCAGGCTCCTGCATGACTATCAGAGGCTGTCGAGTGCTGTATCCCACACTGTACACTTTGTGCAGAAGCATTTGTGAATTTGTTACTGAATCAGATTTAGGCCAACTTCCCTCCAGTCGAGTCATGTCTCGGCATTTCTTTCCATGCTAGAGCCACTACGAACGGGAGCCTCCCAAATGAGCACAGGTGTTTGTTTATACAGCCATGAAAACAGATTTTATAATCCTCCTGTGTACTCCCTCTAAAGCCCGGGCTGAGACAGAACATCCAGCAAGCCGCTGTTTATTCTTTAACATGAAGGGAGTTTTAGATGTTTTAAATTGAAGCACAGGCATCATTTCGCTCGCCCCTGCATGTGATTGCATCTAATCGTGAAATCTGTACATGCTGGCCTAAAGACAGGACATCATGTTGCATAAGAACGCAAAAGCTTTCAGGCTCCCTATCTGCTGGAGTCCAAACAATTAGATCCTCAAACAGTCCAACTTTGGGGCTTTTTATTATCTCTTGACTTTTTGCAAAGCTAATTTTTCTTTGTATCAGTCTATTCTGATCTTTAGTGTTTATGTTGAGTTAGACGAGATAAAAAGTATGTCCTTTACGTATCAAGTTGCAGTCAAAGGCAGGTTAGATGAGCATTAGGACTTAAAGTGGAAAAAGTTGGCAGTTGCCAACCTCACTTGTTGACCAGCACAAGATAGGATAAGAAGAACTTTATTGATCCTCAAAGGTAAATTCAATCACCTCTGGGCTGCTTTTTTGAAATTTATTTAACTGGTAACTAAAATGCAAGGACAAAAGCACAAACAAGCATATCCAGACCACCTCAGGTCTTCAGTCGGTTGAAGAACAGCTCTGCTCAAAATGTCACTGCACTGGTAAATATTTCTGGTATATTGGAGCCCTGAAGTTTGCGAGCTGTTTCCTTTTGTCTGTTTACTGTGATCAGAGTTTTTTGCCATGGAAGCATCATGGACCATGGTATTGGAGGGACTTTTTTATATACAAAAAGTATGTATAATTAAATATTTGAATAATTTTGGCTGCCAGCAAAATGCATAAACATATAGACTTGAATTTCAGCAGATTAAATTATGCAAATGTAAATTCTGCTTTAATGATAAATATGTGAATATGTGGCCTGATTGAACTGTTTCTCTTTTGCAGCTAGCCTCATGTGGACACTCAGGAAACTGCAGTAATTTTCCATTTCCACATTGCCTTTCGATGCTAGATGCCACCACTTGGTTTCTGGCCGCGTCATCTGCACCCTTTTCTTCAAACATGATCCGTTTTGGCTCAAGAAAAGGCTACAACGCCAAACCTGATGTTACAAAACGGTAGTCTTACCACTGACGTCACCTTTTTTGCATTTGTTCTTACAATCTGTGATATGTACAGAGATACTCAGATGTTCGCAGGTAACTCATTGGTTTTTCATAAGCCTGTCTCTCTTGCCTTGATCTGAATTCAGTCCTAGTTTTCTGGACTTTCTTGACCTGAGCTGTCCTAAACTTGGTCTTGATAAATCTTCAGATTCAGCTCAGATCTGAACGCTTTTGTTCCCTCATTCCTGCGCTCCTATCAGTCAGTGACCTCCACTGTTAACATCTGTACAATCAGCCTACATTCAGGCAGAGCCGTGTGTGTGTCCTTCAGCTCAGAGCATGAGCTCAGGTATGTCTCCGTTACACAACTTGTTGTGTGTACTCGCAGCATGTATGTGTACATGTTTTATCATCACCCTGCTTCAATAGAGACATTCATGATAATCCTGTTAATGCAGTCCTGACAGGCATAAGCTGCAAAGACATACAATGAGTTTTACCACTTCTGCATGTGATACTGAGCATGTACCACCATGGCCTCTTATGATTCAAGGCACATGTTTAACTGTGTAAGGCGTTACTTTTTCCTGTCATCTGCCTCTTGATCAGCAGATGTTCTTGTTTCTGTCGCATTTCGTAGAATAAAACAGGAATATTTTCTTCCTCCTGCAGCTTCCTGTAATTTAAGAAGGGTAACACAACAAAAGCTACAACCCCTGAAGGCTGATATTGTCTGCTGTAATAATTCAAGTCATTATCCCTCTGAGTCGGACGTATAAACCATGACAGTGTCAGTTTCTTCGCACTTTTTTCAGTCTTATGTGTAGCCCAGTTCGGCTCATTATTCCAGATGTAGGTGCAAACTTCCTCTTCTGATCCCAAAGATTGAAGCGTTCCCACCCATGACTTCCCCGGCACTATTTAGTCTCCAGCCTTAATTTTGTAGGGAGAGCGGAGCTGAGGGGAGGGCTGTATCAGTAATCATCTACAGTAGTTTTTATCTGAATTTGTCACGCACTCAGAGAGCAAGCAGGCTGCTTGGCTGCAGGGACAGGATGTTCTGGTAGGGTGAGATAAAAACGCTGTGCAGGGGAAAGGGATCTCCCAAACACTTCCCTTTTGTTCCCACCTGACATGGCAACCTGCCAGGAGCTCACTGCAAAGAGAGAAACTGTATGAAGGCTCATCACTCCGCTGTCAGATCTTCACAGCACTTCAAACAAACTTACACAGAGAGATAACCTCGCTCCGTCTTGAAAATCTACCGACTTTCTTCACCCCGCGATTGTGAAGTGTCAGCACAACTTCAAAATGTGTTCGTCATTCCTTCTCTAGCATGGAGAAGTAAAAGAAGAGGACACCAGCATCAAACGAAAGAACAATTAAAGTGTCTCTTTATTTATTATGTTTCTGTACATCATCATCCAAACAGCGTGCAGACAAGCAAAAATACTCAGCGGAGCGACATCACACCTGCAGGTTCAGTTTGTGAAGTCCAAAGCTTGAAGTTGTTTAATTGTGTTAGTGAAGCTCCACATAAGAAGCGCGATGAGGTAAAGACACTATGAAGGTTTGGATCTGAGGAGTTTTTCATCAGATGTTAAAGCTCCTGTGGGGTTTTTCTTTGTTTGTTTTGATAATGAAACAGACTAAAGCTTCAGCTTCAAATCAAAGAGAATAGTGGTGTAATGAATGGTTGCTTTGCTCTGAAAAAGATTTTTAAAATGCCAGCATATGAAAGCTTCACTGCTCTTTACAGATATTGTAAAAGAATTAAACCATCCACATACTCATGACACCAGGGCTCTGTCGGGTGAAGTCTGGCTCACACTTAGAGATTTTGAAAATGTTTAAGTTCATAAACACAGCACACCAAACACAGCTGATACACTTCCTGGTACTTCCAACGCTTCTGTGTTTCATTTCGATATCAGTGTGTTTTACCAAATGCTTTGTGTACAAACTCTTATTGTCGCAGTTTATCAGCACATTGGTCCAATAGTTGCTTTCTTCTTCTCTTAGCTTGTGTCATGATTGGCTCTCGAGTTCTTCCATGTGTTTATTCAAGAGTTCCCCTCACCTAAGGAGTTCAAAACATGAATATTGACCTTGTCTGATATTAAGGATTTCATGTCAGGTTAGCTAAGATACTCTCCTGCACAGATCAGACAGATCTGAGCGCAGAAAAAAATCCCCTAACACACCTCACACCCATGATAATTTGACAAAATAATCACTGAAACCACCCAACAATCAGGCCCAAAATCCCCACTATTATCCTGTAGTGTACGCAATGCTTACCATTAAAGCAGTACATCTAGTCCTAGTTTTAGTCTTGGCTTTTTGCCACTGAACGTCACTTTCAAAGATGAGATGAAATCAGCAACAATAAAAAGTTATCCATTTGTCCACAGGGGGCTCCAAATCCAACACAAACAGAAGGTTCCTCACAGGAGCTTTACCAGGAATAAACACTTATCATGTTGATTGGTTGTCATGGTAGAGTCCTTTTTTGTGTCTATAAATCATCCCCTCATCACTCTGCATCCTGTAAAACGTACAAAAAGTATTAAAAAGAAGATGCATAATGCACAATTTGGCAAGAAAAGTCTTTGATGGTGCTTATGGGAAATGAGGTCTTTATCTTGGAAACATGCTTACAATTTTAATCATCAAAATCAACACAAAACTCCTCACAGTGCCTTTAAAGTCGCACAACCTCAAAGATTTGGTCTTAGTTTCAAACAGGAAAGTATAGCCTAACTCAGAGGTATTCAAAAGCAGCGTGGGAGCATTATGTTGATCCAGGAATGTGTCCTAGTTGGCAATATCAGTTTGTATTGAATTCACCTCCTATTTCAAAGATTAACCTGAATCTGGTTATTCAAGTGTGCTTTAGCAGAGAGCCAACAAACACTCAGATCCAAACCTTCACAGTCAGTGCATCAGTCTCCCATGCTGAGACAACTGTCAGGCACCTTTATAAAAACAACAACAGCATGAATATTCCTGTAAATAAAACAACATGAAGAAGAAATCACTGGGTTACTGGCATGGAAGTTAACGTCAGCAGCTTACTACAACATTCAAACAGAGAAATAAAGGAGTGAGTAACACTGATCTAACATCTGGACAGCAGGTCACAGACAGACAGGCAGCAGGTCTGTTCGGTGTACGCTCCTTTCAAACAGAGCCGTCAGTAACTTTCAGATTATATCAGGGGATTCTTAAAAGCAAGAGTAGTATTTGGCATCACTTTTATTCCTGAGTAACTACACTTTTATACTTTATATAAAAACTACACATTAGTACTGAACATCAGGGGCTGATGCACTCTGTTAGCTTATTGGCCGGATTGTGCAGAAACCCTGCAACCATTGTGACTCCAGTTTTTCACCTGCACGTACAACAAGTTCAGTGTGTTGATGGGTTTGAAATAGATTTTTTTTTCCAGCATTTATACAAAAAGATCAGCAACACTCTGTTGTTAAAACATCAGAATAGTTTTTTTATCAAATCTTGCAGCTGAGGCAATCACACTACAGTCACCAGAGCTGATTAGAGCAGCTGTCATTACAGTATATCTCCAGTGATGTGCAGCAGTCTGCAGAGCTACACTTAGATCAGTCTAAAGATGAGGAGAGTCAGATTGAGCCCAGGTGAACGACTGGCTGTGTGGAACAGATGGAGCAGTATGAGGTCACTTTTGCATCTTTACAATGCAACCTAACAGAAAAGAGGGCACGCCAAAACTTTAACACACTGCTGTCAACATAACAATATTAAAACTTTTTTTTTTTCAAACAGGATATATGAGTAAATTATCAACATTGAATTCAATATTGGGTTGAAGATTCAAGAGTTTAGTTTGCCAACTCAAAAGTAGTTTTGCAAGTGGAACAGTTCAGCTTTTCAGATATGACAATATTCACAATGATATTTTTGTTTATAGTTCACTGTTTTGTTTGCACTTTATACACATATATATCTTCATTTTGCAAGCCAAAAATTTTAAATCCAAACTGTTGCCTCTGTTGCAAACAAGGCTGCCAATGGAGTTACCCCTTTGAGCATAGGCCCCGCCCACAAGACTGAGCTTGTGCAAACACGCAAAACTTTGGCTTCAAAACCAAACTATTGGAAATAAAGATTTTTGAGCTGCAAGCATCACTTTTGGTTTGAAGTTAATATACATTTACTCTTTTTAAGCTCCTGTGAGGATCTTTAAGTTTGAGTGTCGGGTTTGGTACCTCAAAGTGTAACTTTTTCTATCTGCTGGTTTTATCCCATACCTATACAAACTGTGTTTTAACAAAGAAATCTCATCTTGCTGTCTTTGAGCTGTTGTAAAAAATCACTCATAGAAAACTGCTAAAAAAATGTGGTTATTAAGTGTGCTTTTAATGGCACACAAATAACTTTGAAGGTGTGATCAAGACTAATGCTTACAGTCCTGTTTGCTTGTTTTTAGGTCATAAAGGGGCATCAGTATTTATGATCTACCAAAAACTCCTCAGGAGCTTTAAAGCTCTGCTGATGGTTTAGGCTTTTAATTTTTCACAGTGTTGAATGTTTCTGTTTTACGCCTTTTCTGTTTGATGCATAGTGAGGTTATAAAAGTGTCCTCATACTACATCTGTTTCCTGCTGGCACCAGAACACTTAAGAAGGAGTCAGTAATCAGTGTTGAGGATGGAGCCTGAGGTTTCAGTTTATAAATATCGTTTTCAGTCCACAAATGTGAGCTCTAAGTCTTTCTGTGTTTCAGCCTTCATTTAATTGGTTTGTTAAGAGTTTTCACTTGATCATCGCTTGATGTTCTGTCTATGAGGCCTCCTTAGCCTGCTTGGCTGCCAAATCCAGCAGCTTCATATCCTCCCGCAGAGACACTGCGATGCAGTAGGGATTAGGTTTTAGAGTCAGACCGTACTCGTAGTCCAGTGTGGGCAGACTGGCTGGATCTGTGGTGATGTGGCACTGGTGGGCGAGCAGTGTGGTGAAGAGAAACAGCTGCATCTTGGACAAATCCTCACCAATGCAGCGCCTCTTCCCCAGCGAGAAGATTAGCACACTGCTGGTCTTATCCTTGTTCAGCCGTCCATTCTGGTCCAGGAACCGCTCTGGGTCAAAGGTGTCTGGCTGGGACCATATGGCTGGATCATGGTTGATGGACCACTGATTGATGAAGACCACTGTGTTCTTTGGTATCATGTAGCCCATGATGAAGGTGTCGGTGGTGGTGGAGTGGGGGATGGTGAGTGGCACAAAGCTGGTGAAGCGCATCACCTCATAGATGAAGGCCATGATGTAAGGCAGGTGCACCTGGTCCTCCACTGAGGGCAGCCGGCTACGATCCACCACCCTGTCCACCTCCTGCTGGAGACGTGCCTGCACCTCAGGATACCTGCAACCATGGGAGGAAATGTGTTAAAGTAAAAACTTCCACTCACTCGGTAACACAATAAATGACTCTTTGTCTACATTCACACTGCAGGTTATGATGCATAATTCAGATTTTTTGTTAAATCCCATCTTTTGGTGCGGTCGTTCACGTTACAATGAATGAACGAATGCGGCATCTAATGTGAACGGAATGCATGCGCTAAGTGAAATGCATGCACACAAAGCATAAATTGCTATCCGCGCCTGTTTGTGTTTGACGTTTGTCGCATATTGATGACGTCTAGGTCGCATGAACACGACCTGAGCGTTCCCACTGCAGTCACATCAAAAACATATCTATCGTTATGCTGTTATGAGTAAAACAAACCATTGTTTTACTCACAGACATGATGCAAATCACTTTTGTCTCAGTAACACCAGTGAGTCTAGATGAGTTAAAAGCCAAACATAATGCACTTGAAGTTACAAATTATACATGTTAGCAAATTTTCAAACAATGCAATGGAAAGTAAGGACATTTATCCTTGCAAATCTGTCTTTGATTGCTAATTTAAACTTGTTTCTTTGCAAACTTTTGGTTTTTCTGTTGCTTTGAGCTGATTTTGGTGTAGGTAGATCAGTATAAGGCAAACCTGAACCAACGAAACCCTTTCCAGGACTTTAAATCCATGAGAAATACTCCTGGCTTTACATTTAAAATGTCAGTTTTGCCAGCAAATAAATCCATTAAGAAATATATGGAAAATGTGATTTTTTTCGAAAGTGGATCATGAGCAAATCTTTGGGGTTTATTACAAGCTTTGATTTTGCAACTAACTTTATAGTTTCAACAAAAATGTTCTTTCCACATAAGTTTTTCTGGACTTTTAAACAAAACTTTTAAGTTTTGTAAACAAAACATTTGATGTTGAATCAAAACTTTCAATTTTGCTCAAAATTCTCAATCAAATCATTTTTTTTTACCAAAGCAAAATTTATTGACAAGCAAATAAAACTCTTCAATTTTTAAACAAAAGTTCTTTAAACTTTTGAATATATAATCAAAATGCTCAGGTTTGCAGATCATATTTTTATTGTCACCACTATTATGATCATAAAGTTACTTCATTTTGATTTATTGGCTCAAAGGTTTTGCTTCCATCTGCTCTGCTTTAAAAGACTGAATCAAAACAAAGACAGCCGTCCTGAGAGAAGTACATAAACAGTTATATAAATATTAAGGATGTATCACTGACAGCAGCTAAATAAACAGCTCTGATTTAAAGGTAGCGAAGTGAACGGTTCTCTCTTTTCAGCAAAGTGCTGAGTGGGCTCTTCACTTTCACTGGTGTTTAGTTTCAGCTCTTTGTTTCTTGCAGCCAGTTTACCTGTCTGAGTCTCAATCCATCCCCTTCTCCTCCTCCCCTCCCCCCACCCTTTTCTGTTACATAACATAAATGCTACTGAACTTCCTCAAGTGTATTCAGGTTTTACAACAGGATGAGGAGCAGCACTGATTTATTGTCTGCTGCTGCTGTTTCCCTCTATGATTTAAAGGCTTTGCTTTCTGTCGCACAAAAATGGACACAAAAATCAGTGGTTTATACTCGTTTTGAAAATTGTGAAAACATGATTTCTGAATAATGAAAAGCAAAATATTCTCTTACTTGACCATTATGAGGACGATCCACTGCAGTGCCGTAGACAGAGTGTCTTGACTCGCTCCAAATATGTCCCCCACAGTGGGGGGCACGTAGTCCTTCCCTGATGAGAGTCCATTCTTGTCTCTCAGTTGGTCCAGCGCCACAATAAAAGCGTCCGTCATGTCCCTGATGCTGCTGGACTCGATAGTCTTTCTGTGTTCGACCACTTTATCTCGGATGAACGTGCTGAATTCTAAGTTGAGCCTCTTGAAGTTGTCAAAGATGGTTTTGATGGGGTTTGGGAAGTACTGCAGCCAGGGCATCACGTCCACTATACTCCCTGCACCCACTGTCTTTGTGAACTGGTCGTTTCTTCCCACCACCTGCCGAAACTCCTCGTCCTCATAAGAGTATCTCTTCCCGAAGCACACTGCGCTCATGATATTGGCTGTGGACACCACCAGGTATGCCTGAGGCTGGAAGAACCGCTGCTCGTGCGTCTTCCCCACAAACAGCTGCAGCAGCTCCCTGACCTCTCCGAGGACATGGCGCTCAAAAGTCTTCTTAGTATGTGGGTTCCCCGTGGAGAACATGCGGACTGTGGACTGCGCAATTTTGCGGTGCATCTTCCACCAGTCCGTGCTGGTGCCAAAGGCGAGGCTGTTCCCTCCGGAGATGTACTGAAAGGAGGTGAAGTCCGGTCTGCCGGAGAAGTCGGTCCCCTGCTTGACCAGCGCCTGCTTTATAGATTCCCCGTTCAGAACCACCACGGTCCGGCAACCGAGTTTAATCCGGAAGATATTCCCGTATTTCTGCGTCATGCGCGTAAAATATACGTGCGGTGCATTGCCAAGTTGCGCAGCGTTCCCGATGACCGGCCAGGCAAAGGGGCCAGGCGGGGGGCGGCTCGAGCGCCGGAGCCACCGCCACAGGTGGAGGGAGAAAAATAGAGTCACACATGCCAGCAGCAGAGCTTGAGGAGTCGCTGCGTTTACCCCCTCCAGAGTCACAACCATGATGGGGATACTGCAGGGGGAGGGAGGCAACCAGAGTTAAAGAGCCATAATTTACAAACTTGAGAATAAAAGACCAACAGGTGTGTAGAGTTAAAAGTTGAAAGTAAATTCAGGAGTCATTAAATACCTGCTGTCCTCCTCGGTTCATGGAAAAAAAACAGAAACCTCTTCGATTTATCCCCAGAGTTCAGAGTTGCTCCACTTTCTGATGAACTACATTTTCAGCCAGAGAAATCTTGAGTTATTAAGATATCTTCTAGTTCCTGCATGAAGAGAGCAGCCTGGTGCATACATTCATTCACAAAACCGGCGGCCTGTTAAGTGACTGAGTGTCTGTGTGTGTTTGTGTGAGTGAACTCTGTCCACAGCCTGCGCGAGCTCTAAAACTCCACAGCACCGACTTGGCTCATATATCCTCCCCACTCAGCAGCAGCAGCAGCAGCATCCCTGCCGGCCCGTCAGCGGCGGTTTGAGCTCTGATACTGTGGGCAGGTTTGTAGCAAAGGGTGTCACCCCACCCACCCCACCCTCCCTCCCTTCCTTCCACCATCATCCCCCCCTTCCTCCCCCTCCTTTAGTGTACTTACTCACAGGCAACAGGCGGATTGTTGGACGCGTAAACTCAGCGCCTGCAGCTGTGCAAAGCTGAAGAAAGTGAACTCAAGTGTTGGGATTTTCTTTGTTAACCATGAACATGGCGAGATGATGCAAACGGTCTTATACTGACAGATCTAACCCACTCCAGCTAATGCAAATATTTAACGACTTTTAACAGGACTAACTCTACTTTTTCCTGCATGTTTATGCTTCTGCAGCTCAATGTTTAATGGCCCTTTAAAGGGTCTTTGCAGTACCTTTTTTTGCATATTCTAATCCGGTATAAAAATCAATAAAACGCACGTTACATTCAGGGAAAAAAACCACACTGATGTATGAAGATGTTGAAGAAAGGAAATACGTGTCTCTCTGTGCTCGTAAAATCGCATTCATAGCCCGAGGGGTTCATGTAAAAATCCACACATGCCACCACTTTTCAAAGTTCTGAAAATGAATGATAAAACTCAGCTGTCAACTCAAGTGCGCATGGCGTATGTCGATGGCACTTTACGCACCGCAATTCAGCCAGAAAAACACCTCCTGATTCATATTTTCGGTGTTGTAAATTATCAAGTAGTTTCAGTGGCTCGCTTTGTCACTCTGTAACTGAGTCTACACATGTGCAAGTTGTCGTGTTGCAAACTCAAAGCTGCACATTTTCTCTGCAGAAACCCAAAAGAGGGGACGATAAGCGTCACAGTCCGCATGACCTGTGCACGGTGTTTTCTTTCATTCCACAGTCTTGAGTTAGTTTTATTGAAAGTATTGAGACTGCGTTTTCTCATCGAGCCGCCAGGAGGAGGCGGACCCCGTCTTCTGACTCATTAAGGTCCCCTCATTTAATGAAATCAAACCACCAGATCTGCTGCACTGCGCTGCATCCGCTGTGCCTGTAAAGTGTTGAGAAAATGTACAGAAAGGCAGTCTGGGCATGCGCAGTGAAGCCGATCGGAGCAGGTGGATGATTCCCTGTGTTATATCGTTAGTCTCGACTCAGTTATGATTATTCTGTCCCGTCTGCTCTGCTCAGGACCTCCAGAGTTAGACTCCTGGGTCCCCACAGGCTTCATTATTAGGACAGTGCTTATCAACGTTCAGTCCTCTACCCGGGCGTGTGTGTGTGTGCGTGTGTGTGGACGCGCATGTTTTCTGTTGATATCTGTCCTCCTGCTGCCCTCTGCTCGGGCCCCTCCACTCAGCCGGCTCTGGTCTGGATGCCAGGCGGGGATCGTGGTTCAGCACCGCGGACAGCGGCTCAGACAGACCCGCTGATGTCCTCTGACCCTCTGCTGCTCTGATAACACAATCTGACCCGATATCTCTGCCTTAAAAAGCTTATTCAAGAGTAAAAATTACCTACTTATTTATCGTATCAAAAAAGGAGAAGAAAGAAATATTATTGCTCTTTAGAAAAGGGGGATTTCCGTGATTATATCTTGGGGAAACATACATTTTGTGTCCCTTTTATGATAATCACGAAAAGCCTAAATGCTGGTATTCATTGTTAATCTCTTAAGTCGTTTGCGGTTATGGAAAAATAAGAGAGACTGAAAATTTTGTAAGATAAACACGTATAAACGAGCAAGAAGAAAAACAATTTAAAACAGGTAAACCTACCCAAATCGGGTAATTCAAAAGCATTTTAAGCAGTAAAACACTTGGGATAAATAAGACACATGAAAATAGTCGACTTGATCTGAAGAAATCCATAAAAAAATCAGAGCAAATAGAAAGAAAAAACAGATTTTGGCAAAAACGTGATTAAAATGGTAAAATGTGTAGAACATGGTGGTAAAATAAAAACATGCAATGAGCAAATATTTATTCCCGTATATTCTTTTATAATAAAGTATATTAGTTAAATGGTTATATATTTCATTTTCTCATATTGAGGTTCTCAATTTACTGAAGCCCTTTTTCTTTTCATTAGATCTAGTGAAGAATTTAAAAAAAATGAAATTATACAGTCATTTCTTTTAAAATATCATTTAAGCAGTCCTGATGTTAAATTATTTATTAATTTATTTTTAAAAAGATAATAATTGAAAATAGCTTCGTGGTTGTCCTTGCCAAGAAAATGTCAGCAGCAGGCCCTATAAATAACATTTTATAAAATCTAGAAACTATCTTTTATTATAAAAAATGAAATATCCTAAAGAATTCTGTTTTGAGTGTTCATTTTTTTTAGGGTTCAGATGGAATTGATGCTGAACATTGTGTTAAAACTTTATGTTAAAATAAAAACTTGAATCAACCACCAGAAATGATAAAAGGAGAAAAGAGCTGTGTTCAAAATGATGAATCAGATTGAAGTAAAGGTAAATCAGACAGACACTTACTGAGTCAGGACTCCGTGGCTGACAGAGTGATCCTTGAAGGTAAAGCCAAACTAACCCCAGACCTCTTTATGAGAGCAGATATAAGACCAGACCCCCAGAGGACCCCCCCCCCCCCCCTCACTCTAAGTCCTGTCCTTTTGTTTCATAACTGATCAGATTTATACTGAAGAAAATCTGATAAAGTTATCCTAAACTGGTATCAATATAACCAATTATTCATCCCACATGGTTTTTTGATAGCTAGCATGTTTTATCATAAGAGGATTGTGAATATTGAGGTAAAACGTTAAATAATCAACATGGTGCTGCGAGGGGTCAGGGGGTCCACAATGCTCTGCTCGAGGAGATCAGGTCCACTGAGTCTGGGATCTCTTTTGTTTTAAAAACTGTTTTTATTGACCGGCCTGTCCCAATTATACTCAAATTATAAATGTTCCTTTATTGTGAGTTTTTAAAACATGTTTTACTTGCTTTGTGTCTTTTAATGTCTGTGTGTTTTTTTTATAATTCTTGCCTTGACTTTTACATTTCCATAAACTGACCGTTTGACTTTGCTGCCCCTATAAAGGGCTTTACAACTTTCACTATAAATAAAAAAGTGTACTATTTTTAACCAAAGATAAGAAAGATTTATTTTGAAAGGATATTTTTATTGATACCTGCTGAGCAAAATTAAGTTCAAGAGCAAAAGTAGAACACAGTAATCACATGACAAATACAAATTGAACTAAAAAACAATTAAATCAACTTTTAAGAAAAATTTAAACTATAAACATTATGTTCGTCTATAACCTCCATTGATGTGACCATGGTTAGATAAAGATAGAAATGAAAATAAAGCAACAAAGAATACTTGAATACATACGCACAGATGAATCATCAAACAGACACACTAAAATATCACAGTTTAAATAAATTCACTGAATAACTGCACAGATTTATATAAAAGTTTTTAATGACACTGTACTATATCTGTTATAAGTTTTAAATTTTCACATCATACACAAACACAAAAAAGGACAGAGGTTACTGAAGTCTTTTGCCCTGGAAATGTTCACCACTCTCTGTAGGTGTCTGGTCAACACTCCTCGCTCATCTAGCTCCAACTGATTATTCACTCTCTCTCCACCTCTCTAGTGTTTGTGTTGTTTTTAGCTGGTAATAAATGTTCTGGTTTCACAGCTCACCCAGTTATGTGATCCACACACACTGCCCCTCTGTCTCCTTTGTGTTTCAGCCTGTGTGTGTGTGTGTGTGTGTGTGTGTGTGTGTGTGTGTGTGTGTGTGTGTGTGTGTGTGTGTGCGTGCGTGTGTGCGTGTGTGTCTTGTTGAACTAGTGATCCCGAACCTCTGCTGGTCATGGGACTGACTTTTTGTTGCTCATTAATGAAGGTGAAGTCTGTTTTGTAAAGAGAGCACATACTTTGTGCTCGACTGGCGGTGATGAATTCACTCCACAGTTTAGTCCACAACAGCTTTTTATCCCTCCTTTAAAGTTCAGTCATTCAGCACATTTCTTTATTATTCAACAACAACTCTGTGTGAGTGGAGCCTCATCTCACAAATTCAAAGACGAGTCTCAAATATTAAGAAAAAGACACAAAACAAAGTCTGCCCACCACCAGAGAAGCATATATAAAATTTAAAGGTGTTTGTGGGTACAGAGCGGGGATTTCCACTTGACACATATCTGAAAAGCAGGTGTATTTGTGGAGCAAAATTGATCTTGTGTAACACTGTTCATGCAGATATAAACTGTTATTAATGAAAAAATAGAAAATGTAGGAGCATAAACAGTAAATTAAAATGCTTATGGGTGTAAATTTTTTGTTGTTTTTATTGTTTGTGTTCAGACATTGATAAATTTACATATATTTGAAACTGGGCTAAAGGAGCTTTTGCTTTCATCTGCCCCTCTTGAACCTACCAGCAGTGTATTGCTTTTTTATTTTGTGTTATTTTGGGGTGTACTTTCTCTGAAGATCATTTGGTTTTCTTTTATTTCAAATTAAAAAAAAATAAAGAGCTAATTGCTTTACCGTCAAACAAATTATAATTAGTAGTAATGCTGAATCATACATTTTGCTGCTTTTGTTATGCTTGCTATGTTTTCAACAAAGTGTGTTTTTTTGCTCTAGTTTACGTTTTCAATACTTGTACCTTCAAAGCGAAACATATTGATTTTGATTTATATACAGCTTTTTTTGTTACATTTTTAAAACTTTTATTTTCATTTTAAAATCATCTCCAATCTTTGAATCCAGTGTGAGGAGCATATTACCAAATATAAAATTCACAATGAAATTTTCAGGGTTAAAAGTCAGCAAGAAAAGTCATTTCTGTCAAAAGAGTCTTAGAGTATGTGGCAGACAAGATTCACAAAGAGTGTTTCACCCACAGGGGGCACCAAAACTGACACAAATGAAAAGTTTCTCAGGGGAGCTTTAAATTTAATTTTATCTCTGCTTTTTTACTGAGGTTCAGGGTTGAGCCCTAAGATTGTATATACTATCGACAAG